TTCAGGGACTTGAATTCCTAAACACCTGGAGATCTATCTTCTGCTTACTCCATCCTAGCAGAAGATGCATTCAGTGTCATTTCCTGTGTATAGCATTAATAGTGCATTAATAATATCTTTAATTTCTGATGTTTCCACTTTGGTTAGATCACTCGTGTGGATGGGAAGAAGTTGCTGCCATACAGGGAGCAGCTTTTGAAGATCCTGCAGCGAACCCTCCATTTAACCTGTAAGCAGGGTTACATTCTGTCTTGTAACCTACTGCACCATCTTCTTCGTTCTACTACACTTATCTACCCCACAGAATACTGCAGTGTGCCAGGTGGCTTTGACAAGCCTCTTTCTGAATACTTTCCTATCAAGGCAAGGATTTTAACTTACTTAGGATTAGAGAATTTGACTGCCTTTTTGAAAAATAAAACTACTAAACTATTTGCTTTTATTTGAAGATTTATCCAACCCAGTAGCTATGGAAAGTGTAATTGAAAGATGCTATAAGGGTAGAAATATGTAATGTTCTTACTATCAACATTTTAGTTTGTTTTTATTCGGTCTCTCGCACACTCCATTTTGAGGGGATGGGCAATTCAGTGTATGAAAAAACAGCAGTAGAAAGGAAAGATAATGGTTAGTTAGTGCAACATTAAGCGGCTCAGCAAGAAGGCGCTGTCTCAAGTGATAGGAAGTTATCAGGTGTGCTTCGCATGTCTGCAGCCTTTCCCATATGTAAAAGGGATGCATCTGGTTTTGACTGCGTATGGAAATGTACTCTTGCATCTACGTGATGTGGTACTTGATAAAAAAGGCATGCATCCTTCTTGTATATTGTTGGATATTCTGCAGTAATGACACACTGCATTTGTTCATCTTGTAAGGTATGTCTCTTAGTGGCTCTGACTTTACGCACAGCCACCTTTAAGGAACACAAAGGCTGGCTCCTATTAATTTGCGCTGGTTCAAACATTCCTTGTCCGTGTTAGCAGAGCAGACTACAGCTGGGCTTGTATTCAGCTCAACAGATGCAACCAATATAGACAGCATCAGTTTTGTACCACTGTGGTGACATATTTTTCCAGCTGTGATTCTCTGATTCACATACTCCCTATCTGAGTGCATGTTTTGTGCATGCAGAAAATACTGAGTGAACCTGCTCTTTGGATTAAGCATAGATCAGCCTTCTCCAAATTGAAGTTTTCCAAGTACAGCTATTTTATACAGTCCTGATTAGACTATCTTCTATATCGTATAACTCATTGTGTAAAATGTGTGAGGTGAGAGGAGTTATTAAAACACAAATGACGTCAAATGAAATGGCATTATCCTTAGTTCTTGTTGCAAATGAAAATGGAGTAGCAACCAAACAATTTTTGCTTAATATACCTGTGGAGCAGTCTTTTCAAATAGTCATTGGGATATAAGAACAAAAACAAAAAAAGCTACCTTAGAGGGCTTAAAAACAGAACCTGAGAATTGGGGGATTTGTGGCAGGTTTTGGTTTGTTGTCTCTGCTCTATTTGTGGCTCTTTGAAAGGAGCAATCCAAAAAACGGCCCTCTGCATACTGAAGGGCTGCATCTCTACCCTTGAGTCACTTCTCAATAGTTGAAATGCCGCATTAGGATAACCCATAAAATACCTGAGTTGTTTGAATAGTGCACATTTTATTATGGCTTTGCTAGCTACAGGTAGAGCTGTATGTGGACTCTTGCCCACTAAAAATGTTGACTCCCTCTGTAAGATTGTCTGGTCCCAGGGAGATCTTTCATTTCCCGGTTGGTCAGTGGCTTTGCCTTGTGGAGGGAGGAGCAAGGAAGAGAGCAAATGATTTGAATTTTTGCTAAGGCAGAATTCTTATGCACAGGTGAGGAAGTAGCATCTATCAGGCACCTACATAACAACTTCTGTAGCATGTGGAAGACCTGTATTACATTCACTGGCTGCAGTTAGCTTCCCAGTACAATTCTAGTACAGTTATTAACCTCCAAATTAATAATTGGTCTGAGGGCAGCATATTTCAAAAACTGATTTTTGTCATGTGAGCAGCAGCTATTCTTTCTGACAAAGAATCCTTGATTTGGATGCCATCTCTTTGATCTATGAATTCAAGGAAGACCTTTGTTCACCCCTTTATTCTGAAGTCATGTTCCCAAAGGAAGAGCTTTACGTTATGTAGCTTGGGAAGGTGCTGCTTCCTTGTCACTGCAGCCTCTCTGATTTTATTAGATACTTTGAGTTTATTTAGTTGAAAATATTTTGCATTTTATAATCTTATGCTAATCACCTAGGCTGGATTTGAGGGAAAGCTAGATATAAAGTAAAATTATATTTGAGCTCTGTCCTAAAAGAACTGAGATGACTAGTAACATGAATCTGTTATGGCTGCTTTGGGTTTTGGCAACAGCCAGTTAAACATGTCCAGTGAGCCTTATTTTCCAAATTGGTTGCAGGACTGTTTTCCCAATTGTCATAAGCAAGATCTTGTTAAGCTCTGAAATTATTTTATTACAATGCACTTTGCTTGCCCAGAGTGAGGATGTGAACATTTTTTGTTTATAATAAACACTAGCCAAATTGTAAAATGTGTAGCACATGATTGCTTGCCTTTCTCACTAAATGTGGAATGCACATTCTTGTTTTGTGTTCACAGGACTGGGGTAAACCAGGTGACTTACGGAACCTTGATATCCAGTGGCATGTTCCTTCAGCCGAAGAGATGGCTTTTTCTTTCAGCTTGCTGGATTTGTTTCTTCAGCCAGAGCTTGACAAACTGGCACAGTATACAGATGGAAATCTTGAAATGTCCAGGTTAGTAGAAATATTTATTTATTTAAACCTTTTCTAGACCATCCGTTACCGAAGTCTTGGGACAGTTTAACAATACAGCAATGTAAAATAAAACACAGCGTCCTAAAAAAAAAATCAACTGACAATAAAACCCCAATTAAAGCAATCAGATCTTAAAACATTGGGAAAATTGGGAAAAATGGTTTTAGCCTGGTACCAAAAAGAATGAAGAAATACAGTTGGTGCTTGAGTTTTTCTCCAGGAGGTCAACTGACTGGAACACTTTTATGCAAGACTTATTCAGGAAAGCTACGGCTAGCAGTTCAAGGGATGATGATGTCATAAGTGACTGAAGGGCTTCACACATCCTTCAGCAGCTCCATAAAGTAGGCTAAAATTATTATTCCCCATTAGTGGCGTGTGAGGAGTCTGGTTTGGAGTGCAAGTCCATTGGATCTCCTGAGCTTAGCTCCCCGTTCTCAGGCCCGCTTTTCTCTGCTTCAAGCCCACCTCGTGCCATATAGCCAGAAGTAAGTCCAAGCAAATCTGTGAGGCTGGTTTACGCACACCCCTCCCATGCACCCACCGTGCGAAGGAAGTTCTGGTTCTAGCTGTGACTTGTGAGCTCACATAAACAATAGCACACCTATACTTTGTACAGAGAACTTTGCTTTGTGTTTGTATATTTGACCTACCTTGCACACTGAAACTGCTAGCATTCCTAAGCATTCACAGACTTCAGCTCAGCTGAGCTCACTTCCTGCCAGGGCTAAGTGTGAAAAAGAATTCTGGTGAGTGCAAGAAAGCTGGATTTCAGCCTAATCTTCACATCCTATGCCCAGTATTAGAGATTTGTGGTGGTGGTGGAGGAGCAGATGTCACAGGTCATGTGATGACATGCACATGTTTACTTTCTACTTCAGCAAGTCCTGGCGTGTCTGTTTGAATTCATGTTATGCTTTGACCCCTGGAAATACAGGAGGGGCTTTCCTTAGTACTTTCAGAGTCTTTGTGGCTGATCTGAGATTTCAGCTGGAGACTTTCCAGCTGAAGTGTGCCTTCACGTTGGAAATGACCCTTGTAAATCATGAATTGTCTATGTCTTTTTAGTGAGTTCATGGCTTTGCAAAGGTTTGAGCTGAGGACTGCACAGTTTTGGAATGCATGACCCTTAACCACTTTGTTTCTGTTGTGTTTGGATCCAGTGTGGTGTCGTGAATGGAGTGTCAGAGTAGAAACAAGATCCAGCTTCTGACCTCTGGGCATCCAGGAAACTCAGTGGCTCTCACCCTCACAGGGTTATTTGAGGATAAACCCTGCTTGGAGGAAAACCATGATGCAGACTTGCTTTGAGTGGAACTCACAAAATGCTTGCTTGGAGGAGAATTGCGGGGGAGGCCATTCTTGCCCATTTTCCCATATCCCCTGTAGTTGGGGGCTCCTCCAGATCAGTGTAGGAAGTGTTGCTGGAAGCTGCTGGGGGAAACAGGGCATTTCCTTTGCATGAGTGAAAGGAGTCTTTCCATTCAGGGCAGGACAGGGTGGGATTATTTCAGAAAATAATATCAAATCAAAAAGCATAACTGAACTTTTACTATATGCATAAATGTTAGAAATGCTTTTGGTTTCAGGTACCTGTAGACATTTTCCCACTGTTTTGACAGGGAAATTTGGTTGGTTTTACAAAGTTGGTTCAGGCTGAAGTACTTTTGTAAAAAGATTTATAAGCTGTATAAAGCAGAAACTGAGTAATCTTTTTATGTTCCATAATTATTATGGTAGCCTAATTCTTCAATCTCCTGCAGTTCAGACACTGTAAGCCTACCTTGAGCCAGGGCTTGGTTTGATAGTGAACTGGATGAGGGTCAATAAACTGAAGCTTAATCCTGGTAAGACGAAGGTACTATTGGTAGGGGGGTCCTCTAATAGGTAGGAGGGACATTACCCTGTCCTGGATGGGGTCACACTCTCGCTAAGGTACAGGTTCCACAGTCTGGGGTTGCTTCTGGACCCCAATCTGTCCCTGGAGGATCAGGTGAACTCAGTATCTAGAAATGCCTTTTTCCAGCTACGACAGATTTCCCAGCTCCACCCCTGCCTAGACAGTGGGAACCTGAAGATAGTTACCCATGCTCTGGTAACTTCCAAAATAGATTATTGTAATGCACTCTCTTTGGGGCTGCCCTTGAAGACGGGCTGGCAATTGCAACTGGTACAGCATCAGGCCACTCAGTTGGTGGCTGGCACTGCTAGAGCAGCCCATATAACATCAGTTCTGGAAGAACTACATTAGTTACCAGTATGACCCGGGCCCAATTCAAGGGCTTGTACTGGCCCATAAAGCCCTAAACAGCTCAGGGCCCGGCTATCTGAAGGACCGTCTACACCCATATATACGTACCCACTCCCTAAGATCAGCTCAGGAGGCCCTTCTGCAAGAGCCAGGCCTCAGGGAGCTGAGAGGGGTGGCAACTCGGCGAAGGGCCTTTTCCACTGCTGCTCCCCATCTCTGGAACTCCCTCCCTAGGGAGATTCGTCTGGCACCGTATCTATTTTCTTTTCAACACCAGGTGAAGACATACCTTTTTAATTTTGTTCATACTTTTTACGTATTTTAATAGGTTTTAACATATTCGTGTATGTGCGCATGCACGTGTGTGTTTAATATGTTGTAAGCCGCCTAGGAAGGCCTTTTGGCAGTTATAGACAGCCTATAAATATGTTGTTGTTAGTCATGAAGTCGTGTCCGACCCATCACGACCCCATGGACAACATTCCTCCAGGCCTTCCTGTCCTCCACCATCCCCCAGAGTCCACTTAAGCTCACACCAACTGCTTCAGTGACTCCATCTAGCCATCTCATTATATGTAAGTAAATAAATAAATACCTTAGAGCAGCCTCTAGTGGTGAAAGGCTCATGGAGATCGGAGTATAATAATGGCTGAACAAGTACATTTCCCATTCTGCATCACAAACCAGATTTGCATAACTTAAACATTGAAATATATTTAACATTTACTTTCAGAGATGATGTGCAACAGAGTCTTACTATAGTACACAATTGCCTGATTGGATCGGGGAACATTCTGCCGCCTCTGAAGGGAGAAAGAGTAGCTCACCTGTAAGTAAGCATTGCTCTGCATAGCTGCTCAATAGAATGCCCTAAGGAAAACCTTCCTAAACTAGCCCGGGTGTCCAGAGTAGATGGAGCTCCAACTGGCAAGCAGCTGTTCACAAGGAAAAATTCCTAGGTGGACTTGCACATTCTGTGTGCAAAGTCAAGGGTGGAGTTAGCCCAGAGGCAGGATGTCCACAGTAAGGCCGGAAGCATGGCCCTGCTCCTGGAACTGCATGGGGCTGGCCTTCATGCAAGCGATGTATGCCTGGGACTCCTGTATGGGAGTGATCTGTGACAGCTGAAGGAGGCTTGGTGAATTGGGCTGGACTCTGTGGTATGAAGTCTGGTGAACTCTCTTATTGCCTATTACAGATGGTTTTTTGTATTCCATTCCCAACATGCACAGGGAGTATGTCAACTCCAGAAGAAGATCCTTTAAGTTAGACCCCATGAAAACTGAAACAATATTCAGTTGGCATTTCAATAATACCTACTGTAACTAGACAGAGAAAAAAAGGCAACATCTGTGTTACTTCCCCCCATTACAAGTGATTATCTAAACTTACCTGAATTTATTGGCTCTGCTTAGGCTGGTAGTGGAATATTTATCCAAATCAGGATTGTTGTTTTCGTTGTTGTTGTTGTTAGTCACAAAGTTGTGTCCAACCCATCGCAAGCCCATGGACAACATTCCTCCAGGCCTTCCTCTCCTCCACCATCCCCCGGAGTCCACTCAAGCTCACACCAACTGCTTCAGTGACTCCATTTAGCCACCTCATTCTCTGCCGTCCCCTCCTTCTTTTGCCCTCAGTTGTTCCCAGCATTAGGCTCTTCTCCAGGGAGTCCTTTCTTCTCATTAGGTGGCCAAAGTATTTGAGTTTCATCTTCAATATCTGGCCTTCTAAAGAGCAGTCAGGGTTGATCTCCTCTAGGACTGACTGGTTTGATTTCCTTGCAGTCCAAGGAACTCGCAGGAGTCTCCTCCAGCACTGCAATTCAAAGGCCTCAGTTCTTTGGCGCTCAGCCTTCCTTATGGAAATCAGGGTTATGTTTTGAAAAAAATGACATGAGGTTTCAGTTAATACAATTTGGAAAATTGTAGTACAAGCTGAATGCAAGTGAACTGGCAAGATTTAACATATATTTATCTTTTCATTAATAATTATATCAATAATCTATTTTCTATATATGTCTCCATTATATGACTTTCTATTTTGTTTTGAATATTGACCATCATAAACTTTATTATGTCAACAACAAAGCTCTGAGTTGACAGAGTTCAGTATAGGCATAAAAACCGAACAAAAAAAGCTGTTCTCTAGTGCTTTGTAGCTAATATTCATCATGATTCTCAGTATAAAATACCCAACAACAGTGATACAACTTGAGCCTCACTTGACTTCTGACTTTGTTCTCATACTTTAAAAACACCTTAAATGCTGAGAAAGCATAGCGATAACTGTTCTTCATTTTCGGACATTTTTAACAGTGTACACCTATGTTCACAGCATTAGGAGCTTTCTTTTTGCATGATTTTTCCATTGTGTGTTCCGTAGGGTTCCAAGTCTAGTGTCTTTAGAAGAGATCAGACTTTATACCGGTGTTGATTATGGTAAGTTGGCTCTATCTCTTACATTAAAGATCTAAATCTTCCTGCCATTTAGCACATGAAGTTACTACTTCCCATCAACAAAGTAGACAACTTTTGCAATAGTGGTTTTTTCTCTATGCCTTGGCATAGAAATTTGCTTCCTGAGAAATGAATGCCGGAATTATCAGGATGGCTGATGTTGGGCATAGTGCAATTTCTGCCCTTGAGTTATGCAGTTGTAGAATTTTCCTCTGCATTCCTTCACATGGTCTCACTTAGAACCATGTGCTGGGCACTATCCAACTGCAATCAGTATAAACCATGGTTTTCTGTTACAAGAAAGAAACATTGGATCTGGGTGCTCCCTCCTTCTCTTGGTGTTGTAATCAGAGGTTTCCAGCTGTGATTATCAGCAAACTGTAATTTTGCTGTTTTGTCCAAATCTGGGAAACAATGTTTTTTCTTTAAAACAGGATTCCAAATTAAGCTGAAGCCCTTATTTTCAATCGATAGTTTGTGCACACAATGGTTCACACCAGGGTTGGACAAAACAATAAATGATGGCTTTGCTGCTAACTACCTTTGGATGTTTTCAGTTGCCTTGGATGGCAGAAGCATCAGAACATCAGAACCTAAGTCTCAGGCCTGCACATGCATGCCCTTTCTTATAATGCTGCACCATATTTTGAATCTTTCTTGTTCCTTTCCACCAGTGCCAGCTGTAGCTAAGTTTTAAGTCTTCACTCTAGAATAAAATATGCAAACATAGCTATCTTAGGAAATTAGGCTTCTGGTTGGTTCTCAGGTTACATGGGTACAAAATGCACACACACCCTGTCCAATGTGAACAGCGCATGTGTGTAGAATCAATTAGGGTATGTGTCTTTATTATTTTTTTTTTAGAAACATCCTCCCCAAACAACACTTGATCCTTCTCCTTGCATTGCTTTGAAATATTTAAAAGTTCTTCAAGTATGCACCCATTACAGTTGACACAGCGCATGTGGCATTTATGATTTTTTAGGCATACCCTCAGTGTAAAAAAAATAATCCTCTCTTATTTATGGTCAGATACTTGTGTGGACCTCAGGAACAAAACAGCATACATACGTTGACCAGTAACTGACACTGAAATGAATGAAGAAATCCCTGTTTGCATGCAAATTTTATCTAAGTATGCATGTGTATGTTTATTCATGCCTCCAAGGATACTGGAATGGGTTGCCATTTCCTTCTCCAATGGATTACCTTTTGCCAGAGCTCTCTGCTATGACCTGTCCATATTGGATGCCCCTGCACGGCATAGCTCATAGCTTCATTGCACTATGCAAGCTGCTTCGCCACGGCAAGGCAGTGATCCATGAAGGGGCAAACAGTCTTACATTGTGTTTATTTTGGTATGTCTGCTGCTGGTGATCCGTGCCTTGCAGTGTCATGTAATTTAAAATGTAACCTTTATAGATAATGAACGGGCTTACCTTTTCTAGATTTGTCGAGAGAGAATTACAGGGAAACAATCAGCAGGGTCACAAGAAAGCTCCTGCGTGAGTATACTATTTTTTCTATTGTCTTTGTATTGTCTTACAAATGTTTTAAATTTGCATTCCAGTTCCATTAATGGTAGCCCAGAAATGAAGGAAGTAAAAAAAGACATCTTCATTTACACTTGCTTCTTTTCTAGTTGAACGTTTCAGTTTAAATGAAGCGCCCTGTACTCTATGAACCATCATTCTTACATTGTTTTATTGAGCTGGGATTTCCCTTTTGCCTTGACAGATTATATACTTGACCACTCGGAGGATGATACAAAGTCTTTGTTCCTCATCATAAAGGTACAGTTGTAATCTCTGAAGTTTTCTGATATTCTACAGTGAACAGGTAAGCTTGTTATATATAACTGAAATTCTTACTTTACAGATCATTGGGGACCTTTTACATTTCCAAGGTTCACACAAGCATGAATTTGATTCACGCTGGAAAAGCTTCAACTTGGTGAAGAAATCAATGGAGAACAGGGTTGGTATTTTATGTATTTTAGCTTGTCGAAAAAATAATATATCAGAATCTCCCAGGAAAAGTTTGCCGGCTCTTTGGGACATTTATATTAATGGAAGGAAGATAAATTAAGAGTTGGTTATTTCAGCCCTAAAAAGCAAAACTCAAGTGGGATTTAATGAGAGCAATATCCTAGTGCTTCACAATATTATAGAAAAAACACTTAATTTTAACAACAAGAGATTATCCTATATTTTTAGAATGGGGTGGGCAACACATAGTCCGTGAGCTTAATGAAACCCTTGCTGCCCTCCTCAACTAAGTTAAAGAAGAGAGAGAGACAGAAACAGAGAGACAGGGTGTGTAATAGCCAAGGAGTGTTCAAAGGGACAAAATTAGCTTGAGCAGTGAAGCACCATTCAACTTACTTTTCTTTTTAAAAAAATTACATTTCCTTGCATGAGTATGTACGTATGTGTGCGATCAGTGGGGGGATTCGAGAGCGGTGAAAATGGCTCCTGGCCTTGCTTCAGTTGTCCACCCCTGCTTTAGGTGGACAATGCTTGCTTTACAATATGCAAAGCACATTCTCTTCTGTCTTTCTGGTTGCAAGAGACTAAGGCCTGGGCCCAAGTCAGCATCCAGGGAAGCAATGGGGAGCATGTAGCAGTCCAGTGGTAGCTTTTGTTCCTGTTCAAGGGGAACAGCTGTTTCCTTACAGTTTGCCGGCCAGTTGCTTGGGATAGATTCTCAATAACCCTATTGTTCTATGGTGAATTCATTGTGAGTCGACATTAGTTGATTCTCACTTTGTAAATTTTTGCAATGTGTGTTCCAGTCAGAATGTTCCATGTTGTAGGATATTTTGGATAAGTGAGCTGAGTAGGAACATCGTAAGCTGTGATTAGGACATCATGAAGTATTCAGATTTGGCACATGGGATTGTGCATTGGCCCATGATCTGTTTGAAGTCAGCTTCTGCTATGAACAGTGGCATCAGATAGTAGTATTCTGAGTCAGGTACTCCACCTAGAATAGGAAAATAAAGCTTTCCTCTTGACTGAAATGTTGTATTAAAGTGATCATTATGCAGAACACTATCTTCTGCAATCTGCGCAAATTTGGCCAATTGGTATACATTGGATTGACATTGTTATGAAGATAAGCAGAAAGACCAGTTGTCACTCTGACAGTTAGAAGATGATGCCAGTATTAGGGTTATTTCAGGTGTGTAACAGTTTCCATGAAGGAGTATGTTTTGAGGCAGATACTAGAATGGACGAGTTATAAAGCAGAGGTGTATACTATCATTTGTGAGTTGTTGTCTTTTACAAATAAGTGAGTCAAATTTTCTCCACCAGTTTTTCCTTATTACCAATCTGTGACCCTTTCACACACCATGATGACAAGTTGTGGGTTATTTAGCTCTTGATTCACTGGGACATGACTACATACAGGTAACCTCCATTTACTGAAAACAAGCTTGGGTCAGACTGATTACAGATTGTCAGTATGACATGTAAAGCTGGACCAGTAGGTTGCTTATGAGCTAAACAGCCCAGTGTTTAACCATGATTTGTTGTTGGGTTAAATGTTGCATCCTAAATAACCTATTGGTCCAGGTTTATACTGACAATGACAACCTCCTATTAGGTTGATTAGAAGTTGTTTACAGTCAGTGGAAATGGCTTGAGAACAGCATGTCCATGATTTGCTACTAGCTCAATAGGAGGCACCCAGAAGAAAAATTAAAGAAATCTGAGGCAAGGACAGAGAGAACATTTCCAGTATATATACTGCTGTTCTTATACATCTATAATGAATTTGGTTGTTTTGTTCCTCTGCAGCTTCAAGGGAAGAAACAGCATATCAGAGCACTGCTAATTGACAGAGTTATGTTGCAGCATGAGGTAATATTCATAACTCCACGGCCAGTGTTAGGTTGTTGGCCATCCTTGAATTTGTTCTGCTAGTGTTGATAAACTTGTATCTATAAAGTATAAGCGCAGAGACACAGAAATCTAACTTGGCATTTTCTATTTAGCTAAGAACACTCACGGTTGAAGGCTGTGAATATAAAAATGTGCACCAGGGCTTGATTAGGGACCTCCTGCGTTTGTCTACAAGTTCATACGGCCAGGTAAGCTTACATAGTCTATGGCAAGTTCATGCAGACAGGATATTATTTATTAGTGCCCTGCTTCTCCACCAAGAATAGTTATGGTAACTAGCAGTAGTAAAGCAGAGGTAATGAAAACACAAAAAACAATGATAGCCCCACTAGTCCATGGCCAGATCTGACATTCCCAGTATTGACGCAGTGGGCCTAAACTTAGCTGTGCAAATGCAGGCACGCCTACTGCCAGAACATGGACATCACATTTTTGGGCTGAGCCCAGGAAGGTCTCTGCGGTACAAATCTGAGTATTCAGTGGGGATGTTCAAACAGGTATTTGCAGGGAATGCAGGGCTATTCTGCCTTTATATTTCTGGGAGAGGTGTTTCTGTAATAGCTTTGTGCTATTTCTGCTCTTCAGAGGGCCTCAACACTGTCATGACTGAACTTGGTGGCAGGTTTACCATTTGCTTTGGACTGAGTTAAAACATTACATCCAAAGATCGCACTTTATGTAAGCATAACCCACTGTTCACATGGTGTGGGGATTGCTGATCTCCTTTTCTTCCACTTGGCTGGTCATCCATGCTGAAGGTGACATTGTCTAAAAGGGGTGCTCTTAGGAACACCAGATGTTGGTTCAAAAAATAAATAAGGGCAGAAGAAGCCACTGCTGGCTTTGCAGGGCTATGTTCTCAAGAATACACTTATACATAGAAATTCACTATTCTTGTGTTTTACTTCCATATGAAGCTCTGTGAAATGTCCTTCCTTAGGTCAGAAATAAAGCTCAGCATGCATTCTTTGCTGCCCTGGGGACTTACAACTTTTGCTGCAGGGACATAATTCCTTTGGTTCTGGAGTTTTTGCGGCCAGATGGGAACAATGTCACCCAGCAACAATTTAAAGTAAGACTTCTATTAATTTTTTCTACAGGATCTTATCTCAGATAGTTATATTTGAGGTGTTTGTGAAGTTGTGCCTTTGAAAGAACTATGCTGCTTATAATTAGCTTTGTGCAGTGAACCCGAACAATGAAAAGCAAGTAGCATCCATGTCAGTATAACTAAGACTTGCCTTCTCTGATCCATTGTTTTGCATTGTAAGTTGGGCTTCCTTACTGGGATTGGGTTGGGCAATAGGATGGCGACAAGAAAGTTTGCATTTCTGGCTTCTTTCAACTTCCCAGTTAGTGAAAGGTTTGGTTGATCTCTAGTCCTTTTGTTACTACACCCAGAGTTTTGTTATGGAGTGAGTTATTCATTCAGTTGACTAATGTGTACCAGTTTTATGTATTAGTTTGTAGTTTATAAGATAAAGAAATGTGCAATTGCAGACACCTCCTGTCTTTCCATTTTGTTATGTATGTAGAAAGTGATAATCGTAATATAAAATTAAACCATTTTTGTCTACAACAGCATTTTTTGCTTGCAATGGTATTGTTGGATTCTTGGATAGAGTAAGGCAACTGATGAAGAAGAAATTTTGAAATGCAATATGAGATACACCAAGTGTTCAAAATTCAGTGTCCTGTATATTCACTGTTACCTAAAACATTGTGCAGACTTTACATTGCCCTCTGTCTGAGTAGAAGTGATTTAAATCAACATTTCTTAGATTACACCTGTGTAGAGTGCTAGTCTAAGGCAGCTAATAGTAGACCGACTTTACTGAAGTTTTCTGACACTATAATTCTTAATTCCACCCTAAAACTTATTTTCTAAAGGGTGCCTTGTACTGCCTTCTTGGAAACCACAGTGGAGTGTGTCTGGCAAATCTTCATGACTGGGACTGCATTGTTCAAACTTGGCCTGCAATAGTCTCCTCTGGACTTAGCAAAGCAATGTCTCTGGAAAAACCATCAATTGTTAGGCTGTTTGATGATCTTGCAGAGAAGATTCATCGGCAGTATGAAACAATAGGACTCGACTTTACAGTAAGCATGAGATAATTATTTCACCACACAGCTCTTTAGAAAGGCTGCAATTACATATTGCCAAGAGTTCATGATGACCCTGAGACCCAGCAGGGGGGACAGTTCTTCTGCATAGGCTCGCCAGATTTGGGCAGAAGAGAGTGGTGAAGTAGTCTTGGTTCAACTGCTATGCTGGCACTGTGGTTGCTGTCAGTTACGTAAATTATTTAGCCATGACTCAGAATGGGTAAGTGACTTGTATGCAGTAGTTTGTGCATAATTTGGAAATGCTGTAAGTTTAGAACAATATGCCTGGGAAATAATTAGCAGCTTGTCCCCACAAATGAGGAACCATTTAGAATGGTTCCCACACAGTTTATCTTTTGGTGGATCATTATGCTGCCTGTGTATCACATGGCGTGAGACAAGCAGGCCAGTATCTGCTTTGGCAGTTAGGGAGACAACTATGGAAGTACTACAGAAGCTAAATGACCCCCCCCCCCCGGCTACTGTTTTGGAGTAGCTTCCAGCTTAAAGCAGTAGTCATACAGGAAATAGGATTGCTGTGTTTACTTTGGTGATACTTCAGTATTTTTTAACACTGCTGATGCAAAGTATGAGCATCATAACATTGATTAGATTTATATCCCACGTTTTTCTTACATAGAACTCAAAGTGGCTTACATAATTCTCCTCCCCTTGCTTTCAGTCTTATCCCCGCAACAACCACCACCCTGTGAGGTAGGTTGGGCTGAGCATCTATGGCTGGCCCAAAGTCACCCAGTTAGCAACATGGCCAAGCAGGGTTTAGAATCCAGAACACCTGAGGCCCAGCCCCATGCTATACCACGCTGGTTCCATGCATATTTTGTTACACACCTCTCTTCCTTCATCTGAATCCCAGTAGTGGTGGAACCCGTAGGTTGATCATTCATATACAGTTTTTTGTGGTGCAAAATGTGGAGCTGCCATATGCAGGAAGAAGCATACTCACAGCCATATGGAAAATGGATGTGTTGTCTTTGCTCTGTGTAGCAGTGCCAGGAAGCCACACTTAGCCCAAGCTGCCTCTGAGCCATGTATGTGATTACTGTGGAGAACACTAATTTGAGGTGAGAGGTATACAATGTATAAAACTGGAATTCTGTTAGAAGTTGTATTTCTCTTCTGTTCCAGGTTCCAGAGAAATGTATTGAGGTTGCTGTGCTCATGCAGAAATCAGGGGATCTGCAGAATGGCTGGACAAGCCTCAGTTCAGAGGAGATTGAGCTGGGGATTCAACGACAGAAAGAAAGGAATGCTGAATCATCTCAGTAAGTGAAAGGGGTCCAATGTTAAAGATTTCATGGCAAAGTCAGAATATATTATATTTATAAGCTGCCTTGAGTGCCATTTTTGATAGAAAAGGATCAGGAGCAAATCCGTCAAACAAACAAACAAACAAACAAACAAATAAAGGGATGAAACTTGAACACATTGTTTGCTGTCCAGCAGTCTTGCTTTTCTTTGGAAACAGCAAGGAAATCTAATGGCTACCTTGTGTGGTTCATAAGAGCTCAACATGCCTCTCCTTGGATTGATTATACACATATGGAATGTGTAATATTCCGTTTAAATTGTTCTTGTATGGCAAATTATGACAAACCTTTCATGTGCCTTTCTTGCCATAGAGAATCCATTCTATTTGAATTGGCACAAACCCAGGTAAAGTGCAGCATCTCATTGCAATGTTGTAAATCCTGCATGTCTCTTTTCATTTTCAGAAACTATGAAAACTTGGTTAACAAGTTGTTAGATTGTGTGGATCAAAGAAATCTGTAAGTATGTCATATGTGGGTTTCTTTTTCAAAAGAGAAGTAAGGTTCAAAGCATTGAGAGTTTTTTAAGTAGGGCTACAGGATTATGCCACATCCTGCTCTCTCCTCTGTCCTAATTTAAATTCTGTGCCAGATTTCAGTTCATATAAAAAAAAATCAAAAGAACACCCCGTCCAGACTGTTGAGTCAAAGGACTTCATCAGCAATCCTCTGCTGGCCTTACTGGAACAGGATTGAGTAGTCTGTTATCTGATTAATTGTAAATTGAATATGCTTTGCTCAGCTGCTGCTTTCAAGTAACCTGCATTTAAAGACAGGCAAGACTTCTTGGGAATTGGTCCAAAGATCGGTCATCTACCACTTTTTCAATCTTATTTTTCTTTTCTAAATTGTCTTCACCTTGAAGTAAAAGCAAAGGGCATCTTCTGTCCTAAAAGTAGCAGGTCATGGTCATACCAGCCTGTGGTTATTTATATGGTGCTCTTGCCAGTCTCTGAGGAATTCATGGTTTAGCAGAACATCCCTCTTTCCATACTCATGCCCTTCCATTCCTTCATGGTCACTCCTGAGGAATCAAAAATAAAAAGAGTGTTCTGCTGATACCACAGTGGGATTAAAGTTGAATTTGCATTTCAGTACAGAAATGGCTTCTGACATGATGCTTCATCCAGGAATAGGTTCTTTGGAGGATGGGTGTGCTCCTGCAGGTTATTCCTGTGACTAACACTGAGGTTAAGAAGGATCTGTACATGCATTTTCCAGGAACACAAATACAAAAAAACCAATGCTGCAGGAATCTAACAAATGTGATTGCTTTGTCTGTGGAATCTTGATGTTTGCAACCCAGCTGCATTCTATAGACAATAGATTGCAGCAGTGGTATTGACTGCCAGTTGTTTTTGACCCCCTTTCCCCCTCTTGGAATAATTTTAAATCCTGACTACCTCATCCTCCCTTAGAGTAAATTGGAAATGCATTCACCTCTGTGCTGTATCCAACTTTAAAATTAAACCTGTGTAAAGATATTTTTGTTGTCCAAGTGAGAGTCAGATTGGTCTGTGTGCCAATATAGGGTTAGAATGCTGTTATGGTTGGTGGACAGAGGAATTGGTCTAGCAGTAAGCTTTGTTCAGTGCAATTCACTCTTCCTATATGTTTGTCTGATTTGTCATCCCTTCCTGTTTTTCCCCAGTCCCTGGAAGTTTGAACATATTGGCATTGGTTTTCTGTCCTTACTCTTAAGAGATGATAGAGTGCTACCTGCAAGAGCTATAAATTTTTTTGTGGAATGCCTCAACCATGATGCAGTAGTGGTTCGTAAGGTAAACATGGCAACTTGTCGGTGATACTGATGCTGTTATTCTTAATCAAGGGAAGATTTGCATGAAGAAGTGATATTTCATGTTGCAGTTATGAATAAGCTCAACACAGTAGCACATGAAGGGCAAAAGTTAAAAATAGGACTTTCTAGGCATGTGTTGGATGGCCAAGTTGTCCAGTCCACACAGTCACACAAGCAGCACCCGGCTGATCCATATTTAACTCAGAACTTCACTGCAGAGTGAATTCATGGAAAGCATTACATAGGGATTATGGGGAGTTGCGCTTAGCGGGTCAGGCTGTTTTTCCCTGACTTCCCCAACTTGGTTCCCTCCAAATGTTTCGGACAGCATTCCTGTCTGTTCTGCCTGGCTGTGACTCTCATCCTACCACCTGCTAACCGGATCATTTTTAAAGTGGGCATGCTTGGGACTGAACCTGGAGCCTTTCATATGGAAAGCATGCGCTGCGTTACTGAGTAGCAGCTCCTTCCACACTGAGCTATTGGAAGCAGTCTCTGAAACAGCAGGAAAAAAAATAAATGAGGAGGATTATGCCCCAGACCGAATGCTGTAAAGGAAGTCTGGTCTGCATGTTTGCTTTTCAGTGCCTTGAAGCTGCTGTGTGAAGCAGAAGATTCTTCTTTGTAGGACGGGATAAAAATGTTGATCCAGACTGAGTGTGAAGGTCATCCCTAGTTCCCACCTAGCAGAAGTCCACTTGTGGATAGTCCAGTAATACTAGGTGGACAGAGGTAGACACTGTTAGATTCCTTTTTTGAAAGAAGGCTTATGGTGAAGAAGTTTCTTGTGTTGAATTTGTAAAATCCCCGAGTTAATCCTTACACTTCTTTGCAGATGGCAATCTCAGCTGTCGCTGGCGTCCTCAAGCAGTTGAAGAGGCCCCACAAAAAGGTCTCCATATGCCCTTTCCAAATCAGTAAGTGTGCCAAACAAAAGGTGCGAAGTCACCATAAATCATGAAGATATTTTAATTAGATTTTGAAAGTGCAAACGGAAATACGTGTTCTAGTAACATTCAGAATAGTGAATCCTTAAGTTGCTTTTGCCATGACGTTTGCCTGCTCCATCGGGATGAATTTTGGGGTACGGGGTGTCACCTACCATGGCCCATGCAGTTCAGAATAAAAAGATATAAAATAGCAGCAAATAGGGGAATAAAAGTTTATGTGTACCATCTGCTTCATATATTTTGGTTAGTTAAACAGAACAAAATTTAAGGAATTAAATGGGTCAGATGCATAGTCAATAAAAGGTTGATAACTTTCCTTTATCCTTGCAGAATCAAGAGCAAGTTTAGCAATATAACCTTGTTATATTTTGTGCATATCTCCTAGTCCTAAATCTTGTTCTCCTGTATGGCAGAGGGCAGTTCAGCCAATCCGCACTTATTGTAGCCTATAAAAATATTGTGTATTTCAGTGGGCATATAAACCTAGTTTGTTTTAATACTGTTGATTAAATAATCATAATGAGATAACATGGGTTTAGTTCCTAATGCACTTTGAGTAATTTTTTTATAGTTTGAAAGAAAGCAAATGTAGCATGACTTCTATTTATAGAATGTAGGATGCTCAAAATAATCAGATTGTGGAGAGATGTGCAAATCAACATGAGAGTGACGCAGATTAAAAATATATATCCATAAATTCTTGAATTACCTGTCTGAGGAATATGCTGTTAATTCCAGTCACAAGATGTAAACAGAAAATACCAAGTGCATGCTGATAGGGAAATATAATGGACAACGGACAGTGACTCTCTCTCTCCCTCTCCCCCCTCCCCGCCCCCCCTTTTTTTACAAATAGGTGGTGTCCCCCGGCCTTCTGATATTCAGGGTGGTGACAGACCTGACAATCAGTGGCTGCATTATGAAAGTGCCAGTTTACCAAAGACTAAACAAGCTTGGGAGGCCTGCCATTTTGTGGAGAAAACGCACTGGGGTTACTACACTTGGCCTCGGTAAGTGCTGGCCTGACTTTCCCCTCCAGCCAGCGTTAAAGGGAGTGGATGCAGCTCAGATCAAACCATGAGAGCTTTTCCGTGATTAACAGCTTGCCCTGCTTCTGCTTGCTTTCACAGGGCAGTCAGAATTACTTCTTCAGTGTATCTTTAACTTTATTTATCTCTCTGGGCAGTATGCCCATATAGAATAGGTGGGGTGGGATATACATTTTGACTTTGCCTTGTTCCTTTTTGAAAAGTTAGATATGCCAGCTGCCTTACTCATACTAGAATTTTGCTTCCTTTTGTCACTGCCGTAACAAGTTGTGACATAATGCAGCAGGCAGCCAGGAATTTGCATCACCACAATTTGTTCTGGAAAAAAATACTGTAAGTTATCTGATTTTTTTTCTTGCAATTTTTAGAAATATGAAAATCTATGCTTCTGCAGAAGAACAACCAAAGCTTGGGAGGAGTAGAAAGGAACTTTCGGAGGTGAATGTGATGTTTTTAAACTCTTGGAATGATTCAAGTTGGTGATATATTTATTCCCTTTGTGATACATGGGATATCTGGATTCCACATAGATACAAACGAAAATAGGGCTGTAAAAATGGTTTAACTAATTAAACATAGAATAATACCTTGTGTACGAGTGCCATGGCTACTCTGATCCTGTTTCACATATTTTTTCTTGCTTAGAGATTCAAACTATAAATGAATGCTAGCATTTTGGTTATTTTCTTTTATGGGAATATCAGTGAAAGGCAACTAGATACAGCTTCTCTGCACTGGTTCACCGATGCATACTTTTCAGGAAGGGCTGCATGAAAAGATACTTGTGTGTGCCATCATTGCTTGTATCTCCAAACATCACATCAAACGCAGTGGGTTTTTTTGTGGAGTAAATTCATATATTCAACTGTCAGTTCACCAGTAAAGATGTGTAGTGAAATGGAGTGATATAAGCGTGCAGATATGTCAGACCTGTGTTGGGGAAATGGGAATGGAGTAGCTTTTGGTCTCTTAAGGGGAACCAAGTTGACCATATGAAGCAGCGTCATGCCATTGGTCATTTACCTCAAGAGTGACTTTCCAGGGTCTTGGCCAGAAGTTTCTCAGACCCTTCCACCAGCGATCTCATGCAGGGGGTGTGCAATGGAGACATTGCTCAAAGTTGATTTTCTCTGTTTATTTCTGGGTGATTGAGTTACTACCTCAGCACATCAGTTTAGTATATCATCACACTGGTTCATGCAATATGTGGGTAAGTGCCTTTCTAAGTCAGACATCCACCACCCTACTCGTAAGAATGGAAAGGCAAGGGAACAAAAGTGAGATATATTGGTAAAAAAACATTGCATGAAGAGACTTAAAAACACCTGGTGAGAATGTGACACTTCCAAACTCTTATGATGAACACAGAAAATTAAGACCGATTTGAAGATGAAATTCTCATTTAGTCAATACAATGTTGTTGTTTAGTCTGACCCTTTGTGACCCCATGGACCAAACTTGCCACAATTTGTTGTGATCCACACAATCAAAGGCTTTGGCATAGTCAATGAAGCAGTAGATGCTTTTCTGGAATTCCCCAGCTTTTTCCATGATCCAGCGTATGTTGGCAATTTGATCTCTAGCTCCTCTGTCTCTTCAAAACCCCACTTGTACTTCTGGTAATTCTCAGTCCACGTACTGCTGAAGTCTAATTTGTAGACTTTTGAGCATAAATTTGCTAGTGTGTGAAATTAGTGCAATTGTACGGTAGTTTGAACATTCTTTGGCATTGCCCTTCTTTGGGATTGGGATGTAAACTGACCTTTCCCAATCCTGTGGCCACTGTTGAGTTTTAGGATTTTGAATGGCTCACCTGGAATACCATCGCCTCCACTAGCTTTGTTGTTGCTCAGACTTTCTAAGGCCCATTTGACTTCATATTCCAGGATGTCTGGCTTGAGGTCAGTGACCACCCATCGTGGTTATCAGGGACATTAAGTTCTTTCTTGTATAGTTCTTCTGTGTAATCTTGCCACCTCTTTTTAATCTCTTCTGCCTCTGTTAGGTCCCTGCCATTTTGGTCCTTTATCATGCCCATCTTTGCCTGAAACTTCCCTTCATTATCTCCAGTTTTCTTGAAGAGATCTCTGGTCCTCCCTATTCTGTTGTTTTCTTATATTTCTTTGAACTGTTCATTTAAGAAGGCATTCTTATCTCTTCCAGCTATTCTCTGGAATTCTGCATTCAATTGGGTGTGTCTTTCTTTTTCTCCCTTGCCTTTTGCTTCCCTTTTTTCCTCAGCTATTTGTAAAGCTTCCTCAGACAGCCATTTTGCTTTCTTGCATTTCTTTTTCTTTGGGATGGTTTTAGTTGCTGCCTCCTGTACAATGTTGTGAACCTCCGTCCATGGTTTTTCACGCACTCTGTCTATCAGATCTCATCTCCTAAATCTATTTGTCACCTCCACTGTATATTCATCAGGAATATGATGTAGGACATACCTGAGTGGCCTAGTGCTTTTCCCTACTTTCTTCAATTTAAGCCTGATTTTTTCAATAAGAAGCTTATGATCTGAGCCACAGCCAGCTCCTGGTCTTGTTTTTACTGACTGTAAAGAGCTTCATCTTTGGCTGCAGAGCACATAATCAGTCTAAGTTCGGTGTTGACCATCTGGTGATGTCTATGTGTAGAGTTGCCTCTTGGGTTGTTGGAAAAGAATGTTTGCTATTACCAGAATGTTCTCTTGATGAAGTTCTGCTAGCCTTTCCCTGCTTCTTTTTGTACTCCAAGGCCAGTCTATTATTCCGGTTATCTTTTGGCTTCCTTCTTTAGCATTCCAATCCCCCATGATGATAAGGACATCATTTTTAGTGTTAGTTCTAGAAGGTGTTGTAGGTCTTCATAGAACCAGTCAGCTTCAGCCTCTTTGTCCTCAGTAGCTGGGACATAGACTTGGACCACTGTGATTTTGAATAGTTTGCCTTGGATTTAAAATGGTACCCCACTGTAGAATATACTCCCCAGAGGGTTTCACCTGGCACCAACATTATATTCTTTTCGGCATCAGGGGAAAACCTTTTTATTTTCCCATCATTTTAATGTTTAATTGATTTTAACTGGGGTTTTATGTTTTTCGAATTGTCAGATGCTATGATGTTTTGTTTTATTCTACTCATGTTTTTATTGTAAGCCATCCCAAGATGCTTGTGGTGGATAGGTTAGAAAGAAAGAAAGCTCATTCTGTCATTGTCTAGATTGTATCCCAATACTGCTTTTACTACTCTTTTATTGACTACGATGACTACTCTATTTCTTCTGAGGATTCTTGCCCACAGTATATACCTGATGGTCATCTGAATTAAATTCACCCATTCCTGTCCATTTTAGTTCAAGATGTCGATGTGCAGTCTTGTCATCTCATGTTTGACCATGTCCAGCTTAGCTTGATTCTTACATTCCTGGTTCCTATGCAGTGTTGTTCTCTACAGCATCAGACTTTCCTTTCACCACAAGATGCAGCCGCAACTGAGTGCCCTTTCGGCTTTGACCCTGTTACTTCACTTTTGCTGGTGCTTCTTGTACTAACCCTCTGCTCTTCCCCAGTAGCACACTGGACACCTTTCGACTTGAGGGGCTCATCTTCTGGCATCACATCTTTTACCTTTTCATACTGTCCATGGAGTTTTCATGGCAAGGATACTGGAGTGGGTTGCCCTTTTCTTCTCCAGTGGATCATCTTTAGTCAGAGCTTTCTGCTATGATCTGTCTGTCTTGGGTGCCCCCCACAGCATAGCTCATAGCTTCATTGAGCTACTCAAGCCGCTTCACCATGACAAGGCAGTGATTCATGAAGGGGTCAAGACAATATACCATGCCAGTTTTTCCCAGCACAGTTCTGACTGTTGTACAAATAAAGCAGTACTTTAAAAGTTTCATTACACAGTTGCTTCTTCTCTCTCTCTCTTACAGGCAGAACAAATAATTTATGATCACTTTTCTGATCCAAAATTTGTTGAACAGTTAATTAAGTTTCTTTCTTTAGAAGACAGAAAAGGAAAGGACAAGTTTAATCCTCGCAGATTTTGCCTCTTCAAGGTAGTCAGTTATTTTTTATTACTTTCCTATTCTAGAGAATAATTAAATACATATGAAAAAAGCACTGGTCTGAGTTGCCCGTGCAGTTAAGGCTTTGTAACTGTTATACCATATGTTGATGTTGTTCTGTTGATCATTCAAGTTTTATGAGCCATTGCTTATGAAATTGGGAACAAGTGTTAGGGTCATGTTCTCCACTGCAGTGCCACTGCCCCTGCCTTCACACACCTCTTTACAATTTGTTTCTTGGTTGAAATTTAGCCAGCATTAACTTTGGGTTAATGTTAAGTTTGCCTTCACAAACATTCTGGCTCATCCTCTAAGGCCCTCTGGGGGTCATCCTCTGAAGTCTGTTTCTATAATATTAATGTCAGCTACCCAGAGGACTTTTTCAGTGGTTGCCCCTAAACTGTGGGATGGTCTTCCAGAAGAGATGCACCTGATCCCCCATATTCCCACTTTTAAAAGGGAGTTAAAAATGTATCTCTTCTAACAAGCATTCCCAGATTAGTTCTCATGTCAGTTTTATTTAATATGTTCTCTTAGTCAATTTTAATTGTTGTAGGTTCTAATTTTTTGTAAACTGCCCAGAGCCTGTGGGAAAGGGGTAGTATATAAATAGTAAAATGAATATAAACCATAATTTATGAAGTCTTAGTATGATAGTCAGAACTGAGCATTGCATTCATTGCATTGCCTTCTGTAAATTTTCCATTGTTAAAGGTGTACAGTGGTACCTTGGCTCACGAACTTAATCCGTTCTGCGACTCTGGTAGCGACCCAAATTGGTTGTGAGCCAAGTCAAATTTCCCCGTAAGATTCAATGTAAATAAGGTTAATCTGTTCTGTAGCCATTTTTTTAATTACAAAAATTTGAAACAAAGTTACAAAGAACAACAAAGTAACAAAGAACAACAAAGATCACAGCCATCTCCCCCCCCAAGCATGAATGCAGCCATCCCCCCCCCCCCCCCCGCCACACACCCCCCCCCTCCCCCCCCCCCTCGCCACCCCCAACCCCGCCCATCCCCCCCCCCCCCGCAGCACGATCGTGGCCATCTCCCCCCACCCCCAAGCATGACTGCGATCGTGCAGGGAAGATGGGCACAATCGCAATCATCACCCAATGCGGAGTTCGTGACCTGAGGCAAAATTTTTCTGAAATTTCTGTTCACAACCCAATTTGGTTGTGAACTGAGGCGTTCATGAGCCGAGGTACCACTGTATTTATAAGGTAGGTGACTTACTTGGAAAGGACTCACTTGCAAACATGTTTTGAGTAAAACTGCAATTTTCACAAAATGTTGATCAGCAGACATAGGTAGCTAATACAGGAAGGGTTTCCACTGTTGTTCCTGAAGGGAAACCTGCCCTTTGTCTCTTCACAGCACAGTATCTGTGCTTCAAACCTGGGCGGATTTTAAGAAGCCACTTCCATTTGCTGTAAAGGTTATAAATCAGGTATGGTAGCAAAATGCGCCACCAAGCAAAAAGATTTCCAATTATCTTTGGTCTTGGATAATTTGCCTTTCAAAGTTAAATCATCCCAAACTTAAAATAATACAACTTCAAAAGTGTGCATTACAACAGTGGGTGGGGAAGGACCCATCTTTTTAAAAACTGTCAATATTGTTTAAAGATTCAGCATTGAAGAACCATTACATTAAGAGTGTACAGGACCCTTTTTGTAAAAGAGAGAGGTATCCAGGCTTCATACTAAATTTTGTATCTTGTTTTAACAGGGCCTGTTCAGAAATTTTGACGATGCCTTTTTGCCTGTATTGAAACCCCATTTAGAACGTCTAGCTATAGATTCCCATGAAAGTCCCCAGCGATGTGTAGCTGAAATTATAGCTGGTTTGATAAGAGGCTCCAAACACTGGACATTTGAAAAGGTAGTATATGTTACGTTTAAGTTTTGCAGATTAAGTATGAAATTCCAATTGCTTTACCATTAAAGAAGCTACTATGAATTCTTGAAGAATACTGATTCTTGCATTACTTAATAGTAATACAAGTTCTGCTTAATTTTTTAAAAATAATAACTGCTTTTGAAAGTTGCCCCCTACCCCAAGGACTCTAAATTTTGTAACTTTGTATTAATCAGTTTCTGTCATTTCCTAAATAAGTATATCTTGTGTCCGACCCTGTGGGACATGCTGCTGCCGTCATACCTTTAAGGAAGTCTTATTCTTAATTCCTGTACTGAGAGAGATTATACGTGTGTCTCATAGTGTTATCTTTGTTTACAGGTAGAGAACCTCTGGAAGGTTCTGTGTCCACTTCTTAGAACAGCTTTATCCAACATTACAGTGGAGACATACAATGACTGGGGAACATGCATAGCTACATCTTGTGTAAGTGCTGTGCTTTCCTTCTTAATTTGCCAGATTTAGAAAGTGCACAGGTGTGCTGCCATTTTTTGCTCTGCTTATCACTCATTATTTAGATTTCTGTCGTACATTGTGTTACCTTGAGGTGAGAAAGTAGGTAGGTAGGCAGTCCTATCACTCTCTTTTCCTAGCTGAAGATACGTCTGCTTACTGCATGGAAGCAAGATGTCTCCTTACTCCACTTCTTCAGCGCTTCTCCCTTGTCCTTTCCACATTTTTTGCCTTTGCTGTTATTTTATCTGCATGTGGCTGGCTACAAAACTTCCTTGTGGTGAACCAGATTGTTCCAGGACAAGGCTTAAGCTTTGCTATTACATCTTTTCTGAGACAGACGGAGGACTTAATTTATTTATATATATATTAATTCAATATGTATAAAAGCCATCCATTAGCATAATGCTCGCTGTCGTGCTTCTACCTAATTTTTGGGACTCTGACTCCTCCTGACGATCTGGAAGACTAAAACCTTATTTAGAGAGGAAAATTATAGCAGTGTTTACAGATTCTAGCTTCCATGCACATGCAGAAAATTGGGTAAAATGTTTTAGTGAGCATTTGCAGTACAGTCTTAGGCCAAATTTGCAACATTTTGCATACTTGAGAGTAAGTCTTATTGAATTATGGTTAAGCTTACATCTAGGATTGGGATTGGGTTTATCAGGCATATCTCCAAAGTTTGGGCATTCTTAGCTGAATTTAAATAAATCTGGTTAAGATAAATTTCCACTGTAACTTTTTAATATAAGATATTATTTTAGTACTGGCAGTGCTTTACAACAGCCATTATAATTTGAAGATAACTTTTGTTTGTATTTTTCTTTTTGTGGTGGCATTTTTGGGGGGCAGGGAGAAAAAACACAGAACTATAAAATCCACTGTCTTACTCGTACACTGCAAAAAATGTTTAATAATGAATTGTCTTTTAGAGGGTTTTACGAAGACTTCTGTTGCAAGAAATAATTTTGTTGTCCTTGCTTTTTCAAAATTGCTATTACAGGAGAGCAGGGATCCCCGGAAACTTCACTGGTTGTTTGAATTGTTGTTGGAGTCTCCACTGAGTGGTAAAGGAGGGTCATTCGTCGATGCATGGTAAACAAACTTACCTTTTTGTGTGCCAAGTTGTGGATGACAGACATGCTCATACTTATGCAGGACAAGTTGTTCCTGCTTTAGCATGTGATAGGAGGCATACATCATAAGCAATTGTGTAATAATCCTGCTGTTTGGCACCCCAAGAAAAACACACCATAAGCGTAATTGATTTTGTACTGATATATATTGATAAAGGTTTGACAGGTGTTACCATGTAGTTGATGTCCCTCTATTTTCATGAAGTTGAAAGACCTCTGCTGGGGACTTTGGTATTTTACCGCATGTAGCAGTGCTTGGTTAGATGCCCGGTGATCTGACTAAGTTTAGAAAACTTGTACTTGATTATACTGTTAATAGAATTTATATTGAACTAGGTAACCTGGGGCCCTCTAGATGTGCTAAACAACAATCCCTATAAGCCCTTGCTAGAGATGGTGGGAGTTGTAGTCCAAAACATCTGGAATGCACCAGGTTGCTGATTCCTGATTTATGTGAATCATTTATATGAAATGATTCCTCTTGCAAAGGAAGCAAGATGACCCCTTAGGCAGTCAGGCTGCCGAATGCATGAAGGGATCTTCTCAAGAGTATAACTGGAGGAGGAAGAGTCATCTTCTGGAATTGTGTACACACAGAGAGATTAAAAACAACCATTGAACTATTCTTGGTGACTGTGCAATTTATACTTCTGTAAGCATAATTTTCACTTCCACCAGTGAAAGGCTCTTATGTATGAACACTTTTTCAATGATACCAGCATGAAACATCTTCCTTTGCAAGTGCAGTGTAAGGGATTCAGTTTTCTATGCCTGTGTCCTTTGGAGAAGACAAAGATCCTTCTCTCTCCATCATAGCTTTAATTGCTGCACATGCTTGTTTGCCTACTTTTTCTCCAGTCGTCTGTACGTCCTGCAAGGAGGCCTCGCACAGCAAGAATGGCGAGTACCAGAGTTGCTGCACAGATTGTTAAAGTACCTGGAACCAAAACTCACCCAAGTTTACAAAAACGTCAGAGAAAGAATAGGAAGGTTAGTCTTAAATCCTTTCATATTATGTCTAGGGCTGCAATGTACAAAGAAAGCTTGATTTAGTCAAAGTCTGCTTCTGAATAATTAAGCTGTAGACTTGAGGTGGCAGGCACCATCCTCAGAGATGTGCCTTGGAAAGAGCATCCCTCTGCATTCCGACTGCCACGCAAGGGAATGCCCTTTCTGAGATGGTGCTTGCTGTGATTCATGCACCACATCATTAAAAAGCAAGGAAAGGATGCCTTTTTCCCTTCAGAAATGCAATTCAATTTTTTGTGGGGCAGACCTTCTCTTTAGAGAGGCTGAATCAGGGGGAATTCTGCTTTGCTAATCAGATTTTTCCAGAAGTTCTGTTACCTGGTGTAATACAGAGCTGGTTTTATTAACGGAATAGTTACTATGTTGTTGGTTGTAAGTCATTTCAAGGTTTTTTGGGAGAAGCAGTTTATAAATAGCCTAAATAATTGATTTCTGAATATGTTTACAGGACTTCATTAAGCCCACAGATTTCAAACACTTCCACTTCCCAGAGAGGCTCAGGCAGCTGTGGAAAGAGGAAGTGCTGCGTCCACCTTTCCTGTGGCTTTTAGTGAAGGATGGGACTTAGCCTACCTTCTTTTACTATGTCTGTTGGTGCCCAGCTGTATTATGCGGTGACAGTTGTGGAGTTGATACTGCAAAGAGCAGGTGGAAACATCCATTAATCTTTGTGGGTACTTCCAGCATAGTGAGCTGCTTTCTGCTTTGCCACGTCAGACAATGGACTAGTTTGGCCTAACCAGAAGCAGCTCTGCTTAGTCCCTGGCAGAGATTTTTTCCAATGCAGGAACCTGAGACAGTTAACTGAAATTTTCTGTAGGCACCCCTGTTTATTCTCCTTTAAAAAAAGAGAACTTAAATTACATCTTCATGTTTTGCTTTAGTGTTAATCAGAAGAAAGGTTGGGTACTCCAGTGACTACACCTCTTCCAAATGCAGGTGTGAGAAGGTTAGGTCAGGGGTCCTCAATGCAGTACCTGTAAAGGGGTACCCAACATGGCCTCCTGAAAAAATCATTTTATTTTATAATTTTGCTCATTTCCCTATTTTATATGCTTATAAGAATTTGTATGAAATGTGTACAGTTTTCTAGCAATTATACATAGGCTTCAACAACAGTGGGCTAAATATCCAAGTATCTATTTGAAGTTGGCATCTGTATATCACCCACTCATAGACTGAAAGTGTTGTAAGATCCTCAGTCCATTGCATTATACAAGGTGTTCATTCTCCCAATTTTGTAATAGTCTTTTATCTGACAAGCAGACAAAGAGAGTCTGTTTCCTGTTCCATTTGTTAATATCCACAAAGCAGGTGAATCACTGAAAAAAACTTGTGCATCAGTGAATATTAAAACTGTTCTAGTACAAAATGTATCTGCATATTCATCTCTTCCCCAAAGGAAGCAACTACTGGACATTGCCAAAACCTATGTTTAAAAGAAGCACTAGCTGTACTGCATTACCATCAATTAGTGGAATTAAACAATCCCTTAAAGGGAAATAACAGTGTTCAGTAGACACAAAACAAAAGATTTTGCAGACTAAGATGCAATCTAAGATCCAGAGGTGTGACAGGTAGATGGTTAGGCATTTTGTAATGATACAGCAGTTTCTTAAATTCCCGCATATGTCCACAGGTCCAGAAAGGTTGGGGATCACTGGATTAGATTAATAAATACTCCTGCACAACCAAAATCGCTGAGCCCAGAAAATTAGTGCATTATTCTAGGCTAGACTTCTCTCCATGGAGAGGTTTGTTTGTTTGTTTGTTTTAATGTGAGAGAACACTGACACCTATGAACATCATCCAGCATTCTGAAGTAAAGCATTTGACTACTGAATGGCATAGAAATCAAATAAATACAATCTAAAGAAGACTGTGACTCTTTTGAAAGTAAACCTCTGCCTCTAGATGTTCTCAGGCAAACATCCAATTCCTCTCTCTCCCTCCCTCCCTCTCTCCCTCCCTCTGTCCCTCCCTCCCTCTCTGCAGGGATTAGAATGCGAAGATGTTACTGTGATCCTTTGTGAATGCTTTCTTTTAAAAAAACAAGATTTCTATACCAATAATGCATGTGTATATTTTGGTTTATGCAGCGTGTTGACATACATCTTCATGATAGATGTTTCTTTACCAAATACTGCTCCAACAAAGTCTCCCCATGTTCATGAGTTCACTTCCCGAATACTTGAAAAACTGAAACCCCTCATGGAAGTGGATGAAGAAATTCAGAATCATGTCATGGAAGAGAATGGAGTTGGAGAGGAGGATGAACGAACTCAGGGCATTAAACTCTTGAAAACCAGTAAGTGTCTGCGTGAGACATACAAGAACCCAATTAAATGTTCAGTTGTAATTCTTTGAGAAGTTGGGATTTCTTTAAGGGTACTGGCTACTTAGAAAGCATCAGCTTGAACCACACATTTTTCCTGTTGCCTCCATTTGACCTCATTGTACCTTTGCTTTACTCTCCACAGTTCTGAAATGGTTGATGGCAAGCGCAGGGAGAGCTTTTTCCACTGCTGTCACAGAACAGCTTCAGCTCTTGCCGTTGTTTTTCAAGGTATGTGTTTAATTTCTCAGATTAGGCTACCCAGTTGGTTTTGGAAACATCCAATCAGCAGTGCTTGACAAATAAGTCATCTCCCACATGTGCAAAACTTAAGCCATTCATCGAGCCCTCCAACCCAGCAAGACTGTTCTTTGTTTGAAGGGCACAAGGCTGCCTAGACTGCACCAGAGCTTAGCCACTCCACCACGTCTCTGCTTTCACATAACCATTTGCAGATACAGTGTGCCTTGGTGGTCGCATCCAGCCTCAGCTGCAGCTCCTGCACACATTGGTTGGCACAGTGCTTGCAATACTGTGGAGCAGGCCAGGCTGCATTTGACATGATGGCGTCCACACATAGAAGCCCTACAGCCCTCCCTCCTAGCAGGTCACTAGTCCCCATACAGAGTGAAGAAAGAATGAACATAAATGCAAGAATTGCAGGGAAATAAGCATCAAAAATCATGTGAAAAATGCCCCTTCTACTTCTTTTGGTGGGGGAAGGTTGCGACGTGCAATGGAGAGGCAGCCTAGTTCCCCCTCTGACGTCCATTCAGATTGAACTCTGTGCTTCTGGGTTGCACATCAGATTGGCTTTATGAGGCTGTCACATGGCCAGATCTGACTGGCAGCTTTATTTATAGCAGGAGCCTTCTATAGATAGCCTCCAGTTTTTTTGTATAGATCTGTGGATTAGATAGAAGTAAATATAATTGAGTTTCTTTGTCATAATAAAGATCATTAGTAGTTCATCCAGTTATTCTTTACTCACCAGAGTTCTGATTTACCTCTGATTACTGCTAGAGGTAGGCAAAAGGCTCCCCAGTTATAAAATGTGGCACCCTTGGGAGAGGAAAATCATCTTGTGTTTAGTACTGCATAGAATTCAGTATTCTGGAATTGTATATATTTAGTTAAAATAATATGCTGAGTAGAATTCAAAGGAAGTTGTTGAGGATTGCCATTTCTGGATGCAGTCCACCAGATAACTGGTCCCACTTAAGCCACTTTTCAGTTTACACAGAAAAAAACTTGTAGGACAGATGATTTTATTTTCATACTGTCCAATGCAAGTACTGTTTATCTACACAGAGCCTTTGGGATAAACGCAGTAAATAGTGAAATAACTGGCACACTCTAGCTATAACATAACAGTGATGTGAATTGCTTCTGTGGGTGCGTTCTGATACAGCAGTTAAAAATAGTGGGGCTTAAATTATTTCTCTTGTTTCGTTAAAGAGGCTGATGTGGCCTGTGACATTTCCCAGCATGCCCTTCATTTTACTTCCAGAAAACTTAACAAGCTACGGTTGCTACCTCCCTGTTCTTTCTTACAGATTGCACCTGTAGAAAATGATAATAGCTATGATGAACTGAAGAGAGATGCTAAGATGTGCTTATCATTAATGTCTCAGGGATTGTTGTATCCCCAACAAGTGCCTTTGGTACTTCAGGTGCTAAAACAAGTATGTGTCATTTTTAAACTATGTAAATAAATAATAAATAAATAACCTGGGTGGCATTTGGAGTATGTGCTGCTATTTCCCCCAGCCAGTGATCGACAGCAAATGCATTCTGCCTGAATAATTAGTATTACTCTATAAAATGTTCAGTTACTTACTGACGAGCAACATGCCTGTCACTATGGCAGAAGGGATGTGTGTGACCTCTCTGTTGTACATACCACATGAAGGACAGTGCATCCATGCTGGCTTTGCTCACAGAAACTCTGCATTCCACTTTCTGGTAAGTAGCTGGATAACCCAATGTCAAGAACAGCAAGCTGGTCTTCTCCTTGCTGTAACAGTAACCCAGGGCTGGCCATTTACTTTTCCCAATAGGATTTAAATGAAGCAGTGCATTTGTATGAATGCAAGGGAAAAGATGGTCCCTGGACCACTAGATTTGGTATTATGCCTCACCCCAGGCTTAGTGACTTGAGAAAGGGGTAGCCCTCTGTGATTCAGGCTGTATTTCTTCATCACACTAGAGTGTGGCAGAAGGTGACAAATCAGACTTTTATAAATATGGACCACCTTCTGTAGTGTTACAGCTTTCCAGGAAAGACAGAACTCCCAGAAGTATGAACATTCCTTGAAGGACATCAGGCAAAATTGGGTGTGTTTTCATTCAAGAGAGAAGTATTCCAATCTCTCTTCTCTGTAACAGCCTTAGCAATGTCATACTACAGAGGAGAAGTGGGGGAGCTTTTCTTGCCTGAGTCTTACTATGAACTGTTCGTCCCACAGTGCACCTGATTCGGATGGCATGGAAAACTGTGGTTTATCTGAAGCAGGGAGGGAATTGGACTGCTGCAGGAGAGGGAAGAGACCATGGAAGCTTCAGGCATAGGCCAGCAGCTAAAGCCTTTGGCCATTGGATATGAAGTAGCTAGAAAGAGACATTCTTGATTCTTTGTCCTCTTCTCAGGAGTTGATATTGTCATGATGGGGGTTAAGCTGAGGAAATGGGGATTGGCCAGGACCTGAGGATGAGCAGTATGGTAGCATATATTTGGTGAGGAAAAAAATCCCCAATAGATTGTCCCTCTCAACATAAATTTTAAAAGCTCCTTGGGATTTTAGCTTTCCTTTTCCCCAGATACAGTATGTGGATAAACTTTGGAATGTAGCTGTGCAAAATGTGCTCCTTCTATAAATGGAAACTGGTTTGATTTTAGGAAAAACCTTTCTGTATCTTTAAGAACAGCCTGTTTCCCATTTTGCTAACTGCTGCTATTTTGTTGTTTCGGGGTTTTTTTGCAGACAGCAAAGAGTAGTTCCTGGCATGCTAGGTACACAGTGCTAACCTACCTCCAGACCATGGTATTTTATAATCTTTTTATCTTCCTAAACAACGAAGAAGCAGTACATGATATCAGATGGTTGATTATAAGGCTCCTAGAAGACGAACAACTTGAGGTGAATAAATACCCATGCTTGCTTTTCTTGGCAACCTATATAGAATCTATGTTTGCTAAATAAAAATTAAATTATAGTTTTGGACATGTTCTAGCACCAATTTGGGCACTTCTTAAAACCCTACTGATCTTGGTGGGGGAGTTAAGGATATGAGGCCATATCTGTGCTGATACTAATGTAAATTATGTTGCACCAGCATAAGCAACATCTGCAGCAAAACCATTAACATTTATCCAGAAAACCTTTCCTGCTAGCAAGCTCTTCGGACATTGGCTAGAGATTGCTTGTGCTGGTGTTGCATAATTAAGGTGAGTGCTAATATCAGCTTGGATACTGCTCATGATTTTAAACTATTCAAATACTCTTAAAATCATACATTGAAAATGGAAAATAAATATCCCCCAGTTGAGAGATCGCACAATGATTACACCACTGTATAAACAAAGGTTCCAACTCTGTAACAGTTCATTATAGTCTCTGTTTTATTTTCACAACAATGTTAATTTATTTAAGTTGTCCATTTCAACTACTGTAAAGGCTTTCTATTACTGTCTGTTACCTTCACTTTGCTGTGAGCCATTATATTTCCAGCTTTTTGACAACCACAACCTTTGCTGATACTAAAAGCTTTGGAGCAGAGGTGTCATACCTTGGCCCATCTAGCCCAATATTGTTAGCATTGATGGGCAGTGGCTTCCTAGGATTTCTGGCAGGGTTCTCTCCTTGCCCTCTCTGGGGATGCTGGAAATTGAACCTGGAACCCTTTCCATGCAAAGCAGGAGCTCTGCCATGGAGCTGCAGCCCACTGCCAGGTTGCATATTCCTAAATCTTCCCCAGTGAAGCCAGTGGGGCTTGAAATTACACAATGAGGGCTAGATTGTGCTTATTACTGCTGCATAGGTCATCTCTTCTGTTTTCTATGAGAAGCATTGTCTTTATTTGCACTGGTACCAAATTAATTTCTTAGTTTCTGACTGTATATTTTAAAAATCAAGATGGCTTTGTTTATCATAGCCACCTACAGATATTTGGGTCACATAAAAAGGATACTGCAGTCATTAGAATCACAGAATGGTAGAGTTGGAAGGAGGCAAGAAGACCATCCGGTCCTACCCCCTGCTGTTGTAGAACACCAAGTTACGCCATCCCACTCAGACGGCTGTCCAGTTTCTTTCTGAATGTCTCTAGTGTGGGAGAGCCACCACTTCATCTAGCCTGATGACTGAGTCCACTGTCATATTGCTCTGACAGTCAGGAAACCTTTTCTGAAACCTAGCCCGAACCTGGGTTGTCGCAGCCTGAGTTGATTATTCTGTGTCCTTATACTCTGGAAGAAATATCCATGTGTGGAGACAGATGAACCCTACAGTGAGTTACCAGGGCTGCTTCATTCTTGCTTACAAACAGGATTTCTGAAACATTTTGTTTCCTGTTCAAAGCTGAATTTTAGAAAGTATTCCTTTGTGCAGTAGTTAATGAGAGGGAAAGCTTTAAAAGCAGTTTCAAAACTGATTTAATAGTGCAGCTTTGCAGTCTTAACAAATGTTGGTCTTCCATTCCTGCTCCTATTGCATAGTGGGAGAACCTGACTGATACAAGGGTTCTTTTACCACTTCATGTTAGAACAATCTAGTAATGTAAAGCTAATCAACCTTATTTACTGTTCCCTCTATAAAAACAATGAATTCATAGGACTAATTTGTAGAACAAATTTGCAAATGATCAGCTGAATAGCATGTTTTTGCAGAAGAGCAGTACAACTCGACATACTTGCCTGTGTGTAATCTCTGGTGATCACGTTGCCATGGAAACGTCACTTTTGCCTCGGCTGTAATTTTGCTTTTTCCTGATTTGAGCTGGCAAGCCCTGAGATGGCACTTACTTGTTCCTCCAGTGCTGTCTGTCAGTTATTCTGTGTGTGTATTTTGTGCAGATGCTCAGCTGTGCCTGGCAAGGTGATACGGGGGGAGAATTAGTAGATCCCAGCATATTGCTCCCCAATTTTGATGTGTATCAAACATGTTAAACAGAATTTCCTCCCTCTTCTTTGGAGGGCTCTCCTTTTCCTAGGCTCCTTGTCCTGGTGCTGGTGTGGGCCTCCTTTCCAAATCCTGCCCGTACCAGCGACTCTTTCCCACACTCCACTGCTTTTCTGCTTTCTAGATTTTATTCCATGAGGCTTTACTCTCCTTGGCATCTCTGTATCACTCTCCCAGCCACCTCTCAGTCATCCCTCAGATCTCGATGCCTGACAAGCACAATTGGAGATGGCAACATGCTGGCAACATGCGCTCCGTGTGCATCATACAGCATGAAAATGTACCACGCTCTCAATAAATTACCTCAGTGGAGGCCAACTGGCTACCTGTCTAATGTAATCGAGATGTGATAAACAGTGCACATTTTCTTCATTATGAGAAGGAAGGAAACGTGATGACATTGTAAGAAGCAGGGTTGATTCCAACTTAATTAATGGCAACTTAAGTTATAAACCATTTTTGCCAGTATTAGCAGATGTAGCGGGATGCATTCCTGGTCTATGGTCCTCCATCTAGAGCAGGAATGCAAACCCCCCAGCCTGGGATCCCTCTTCAGCCCTATAGGGTCTGTAGAACACCATGCCCCTTCCCCCTGACCATTGAGTGATGTCATCCAGCCTTTTGTTTTCCCTCATCCTAAAAAGTTAAAATGCCTCTCGTAAGGCTTGCATACTGGTAGTAAGAGCTTTAAACTAAGGTATGCTGGTACTTCCAGTAATTTGGCTACAGCCACCCATGGAATAGAGAGGGCATCTCCAAGATGGAATTTGGCTCCTGGACTGAAAGAGGTTTGAGTACCTTGCTGTCGAGAACAGACGATGCTGGAAGTGCCCGCCCCGATGTGATGCGCCCGAGGTCGATGGGCCTGATTCATGTTCCTCGATCTTCAGCCTGAGTGCACTTAGGTTGCCTTCTTAGTGCTCCAGTGTCCCAGCATCAGCGTGTCCCAGGGCAGCTTTGGTGTGGGGTGTTTCTCCAGTGTTCTTTTGTTTGTAAGTGTGTTGCAGCCTGTCCTGAGGCCTGGAAAGTGATCAAGCAAACATGTAGAGCACATTTCCACAATCGCAGGCATTCTTGACCAGTGAAAGACATCCCTGGCACTGCTTTGGGCCAAACAACGACGCATACTCCCTGTTAATCTGCTTGTAAATGCCTTGCTCTGGAGTGGCAAATACCGCTCAAGGCTTCATCCAGCAAATTAGAGCAAACCCTATTCTTGAACAGAATGTTCTTAAGTTCTGAGCAAAAAATACAGCTGAGCAAAAAATACAGCTACTAGCCTTGTAATAAATTAGCATTCAGAGTTAACAGGCTTTTGCAAGAGCCCATTTTATAGCACAGTAGCATGACTAGCATTTATTACATCTCAGTTGAATTGCATGCAATGCAATGTTCGTAATACAGCACTCCAAATAGACATCTTGGAGTACTTTTTAAAGTAAGGCACCTGAAACAAAAGAGCTTGTTAAGTCAGTTGTTGAGTCTTGATGGCTCAGCAAGTATACTTGCCAGAAGATGGCTTTCATTTACATCCCAGCATAGTGTTTCAAAACCACCTTACAGTCTTACTCAGAGCAAGGGCTGCTGGGCCAAATTCTTGAGATCAGGAGGTACTGCAGGGCCATTTGACAAGGAGTCACAGGGACGTGCAAGGCAGCGACACTCACTGGGGTAAATGATGGACCTGCTGCATCCTAGGTGAGAGAGATGGCTGCCACCACCTTGAGCGGGCTGCTCCAGTGCCACTTCCTGGTGATCGATACCCCCATGCAGACCCACTTTGAGCAGCTCTGCAAGAGAAGGCTCCCGAAGAAGAGGAAGTGGGAACTCAGCGCAGTGGTGGATACCATTCCCCCCGCAGGTAAGCAGGGGTCTCTCAAAGGCATGATTCACAGCACAAAAGCATATAAAATTTGTCCTCGTCCCAGAAGGAGGTGTTTTCGCAGGCCTTGGGCCAGTTCCATATTTTTAATGAGCTGTCTGGTCCAAAGCAATGGAAAAACGTTGCATCTGAATGCTTCTTCGGAAGTCTGTTGAAGAGAGGGTGTGTGGTCAGATGGAACTCTACTGTTTGTGGAGCATTCATTGGGACGCAAGCCATAATCAGACTTCTTTTCAACAAGGGCCATTATGTTATTCATGTTTATGGAACTGAAGGCACTCTAAGCTGTTTTATGGGCATGTATCAGTGATTACAAAGCAAACTTCTTCCACAGAGAAACGAGAGCCACTATTTGTTTAGAATTCTGTTTTAAATCTCTAATGAAAGTTCATGTTTTTACTGTTTTTTTTTAAATACTTCATTATATGTTATGTGTAGCCTCGCTACAGAGTGGCACTGACATAAAATAAATGTTTCTTTGCAGACTTAGTTAAACGCCATGCTGGTGTGCTGGGACTTAGTGCGTGCATTTTGTCTAGCCCTTATGATGTACCCACCTGGATGCCTCAGCTTTTAATGGACCTTAGTGCGCATCTGAATGATCCTCAGCCTATTGAGGTAAAAAATCTGTCTCTCTTTGTGTCTGTTGCACCTTTGGGGGTCTGGACTTTCTCTGAAGATTCCTCCATTAAGCTCCTTATCTGAGGGAGCTTGTCCCAATCAGTGACTTTCTTTGGAAGTAGACTGAGGCATCCTGCTCCATGAAACCTTTGAGGCCGCAGACTGAAAAACTGTTTTAGACGGAAGATGGTCTTGCTGTTGGTTGGCTGGCCAGTTAATCTGGTTATTTTGTTTGTAACAGTTTCACTCTTAGTCTTAGTTCATGGTTGTTTTACAAATAAATATTGAAAAGCGGGATACAAAAGTTCTTCATCGTGGCCTCTGTGCATCACACATATGGGTTTTGCACCTGCGCAGTGCCTTTGGCCGGAAGATTAACAGCTAATGGTTTTTGGCAGGAACTCCGCTCCCCCTTCCCACAGCATTATATAAGAAGTGGAGTGTCCGCCATTTTCCAGTCTTTGCGACCGCCGTTCATTGTGCCTCATGCCGCTTCGCTCTCACTAAGATTATAACTTACCTTCTTGCTCGTTCGAAAATCTCTCCTTTTTCCTACCAAGTTTGTATCCCTTGTTCTTGTTGTTAGTACTTCACTTATATTTCTTCTTAACTTTGCACCATTTTTTCCTCTTTATCGTTCCTATTAAAAAAAAAACCAAAAATATTACTTTCCCGCTTTACTATCTCCTTTTTTCTTCTTTCTATGATGGCGCAACGGGCGGCATTCCGCAAGTGCGGAAAATGTGGCTCCAGAATGTCCGCCGCGGACCCGCATGCTCTGTGCCTCCTTTGTTTGGGGGAAGGGCACAGAACCGATAAGTGCGGCCATTGTTTGGCCTTCTCTAAACAGGCGAGGAAGAACAGGGAGAACCGCCTCCGCAAACTCTTATGGGACCAGGCTCTCCTCCAATCGGACTGGCTGGTGGCTAAGCCTTCCACTGTTGTGGTCCCACCCGAAGGCCGTCCAACTTCGGCTGACCTGCCGCAATGCCCGGCCTCTTCCTCCATTGCTCCGCCCTCAAGCCCTTCTGAAGAAGGCGCTCATACCATGGCCGACCAGTCTGTTTCCCTGCTGAGGAAACAAAAGGAAAAAGGAAAGCACAGCGACTCAGATAAATATCCTGTGCATAAGAAGGCCAAGAAAGATAAGATGGGCAAGCCGGTTAAGAAGCCGAAGAACCCCAAGCAGGAAAAACACTGCCACTCGGGCTCGGCCTCTTCCTCAATTCCGATCCCTGCTTTGGAACCGACCCCCTCAGTCCCAACCATCCAGGTGGCTATGAGGGTTACCCCACGGGGCTCACCGCGCTGACCGACAGCCGAACCCATTCTGGATTCAAGGCGTGGTTCCATCTCTGATGGGGAAATACGAGACTCTCCACCTAGAGCTCGATCACCAACCCCGATGCCTCCAATCCCGATGGATACTGAGATCGCCATCTCCCCTCCGAGAAGCCATAGGAGCCGTTCCTCGGATGCGAGGTCTGATGATTGGTACCACTCCAGGTACTCCTCCGCTCTGAGACGGGAAGAGTACCACTCCGTAGCCTATTATCCGACCTCCAGGGGACAATCTTCGCCACCAGCGCCTCGGGAACATTTCCATTCAATGCCCAGAGACGCCCCGAGGGCCCCATCTAAAGAAAGTGGCAGATCAGAGTCACCAGGAGATTCTTCCTCCAGTGTACCACCCCCCTACTGGATGGAATCCAACGAGTCTGAGGCTGACTCGACCTCGCCGGATGCAGCGGTTGCTTCTCAGGGCCCGGGGTCACCCGAGGAACTGTACATATCGTTTAATGATCTGATGGCCAGACTAGTGAGATCACTCAATATAGAAGCCCACCAACAGCCGGGACCGAGCACCAATCGTTTTTATGATGTGGTCAGGGGCGAATGATCCACATCTATTGCCTTGCCGTTTATTACGATCTTACGGCAGACAATGACCCAGCCATGGGACCTCCCAGCTCACCCACAACCGACTTCTCGTAAATACGAGTCCATGTATCGGGTGCGGGAAGAGGACATCCCGTTTCTTCTCCGTCACCCCAAGCCGAATTCGGTTGTTGTAGAATCCTCGCAGGGTCGGGAAGCCCGTGGACACACCTCTCCTTGTGACAAAGAGGGCAGAAAGGTTTATTCCCTCGCCTGCCGGGTATACGCAGCTTCAGGCCTTGGTTTACGAATTTCTAATTATGACGCAGCCCTGGTGCGTTACCATTATTTCCTTATGCAATGCCTGGACGCCATCATCGATACCCTCCCGGGAAACCAGGGCGTACTCTTGTTAAGGAAGCTATGCAAGTGGCGGTGCAACAGCTTTCCACCGCGAGGCACCATGTGGACTCTGATTCAAGGTCGCTGGTCGGTGCCATTTCCCTCCGCAGACACGCCTGGTTGCGTAATTGCAATTTTCCGGATGAGATGAAGCGGAGAATTGAGGAGATGCCGTTCGACGGTTCTGGTCTCTTCTATGCGAGGACGGATAGCAAATTGAAGAAAATCCATGAATCAAGGATGACGGCCTGTTGTATGGAATTGCAATCTCTACCCCGACGTAAGTGGTCATGGTCACATCCACAGTACCGTCAACAATTTCCGCCTCGGCAACAGCAACCGCATCAACATCAGCAGCATCGCAGGCAACAACCACCCCAGCGCTTCCAACAGGGCCGCCGCCGCTTTGATACGGACAGGCGACAGCGCTGATGCGACGAGCGAACCTCTCCTCTCATTCCAACTCTACCCTCCCCCCCTCTAATTTGGGGATCGACTGAAGAGTCGGCTCTCCACTTGGGAGTCCATCACATCTGATGGGTGGGTGTTATCTATCATTCAGCACGGATATGGAATCAAATTCGACGTTGTGCCATCACCGAATCCTATCCGCTATACTCCAACTTCCTTGGTACTGTTAGACGAGATTCACTAACTCCTTGCTAAAGGAGCTATTCGTCACCTGTCATTATCGGAGGGATTCCACAGGTTCTATTCCAGATACTTTACAGTCCCGAAATGAGATGGGGGTCTCAGACCAATATTGGACTTGAGAGCTCTCAATAGATTCATAACACCAAAGCAGTTTCGGATGACCACACTTCAAAATATTCTCCCGTTGCTGGGAAGAGGGGATTGGTTCGCCTCATTGGATCTGAAGGATGCCTATTTTCATATTTCAATACATCCCAGTTATAGGTGTTTCCTTCGTTTTGCGGTGGACTCTGAAATCTACGAATTCAATGTGCTACCGTTTGGATTAGCCACTGCACCACGGGTTTTTACGAAGTGTATGGCTCCTGTCTGTGCACACCTTCGATTACGTGGAATTTGGATATACCCGTACCTTGATGATTGGTTGCTGGTCTCCGACACTGAAGCAGGACTTTCGTCTGCTGTTGAGTTTACATGTGCTCTACTGCACGATCTCAGACTCTGTATTAATCAACAGAAATCTTCCCTTCTCCCTACGCAGGTGATCAACTTTATCGGAGCCCAGCTGGATTCGATGTTGGCAAGAGCCTTCCTTCCTTGGGACGGACGGCATGCAATTGCTCAGTGCATCGCTCGGATTCGACAAGCAAGAACCGTCCCCGCCCGGTCTATTCAGAGCCTGTTGGGTCACATGTCTGCTTCCATCGCTGTGGTTCCGCATGCCAAACTCAGGCTACGTCCCCTTCAGCTGTTCTTCAACGGAATGTTTCGACCACAGACAGATCCACCTACCAAACAGATTTGACTCTCGGCTTCCGTTCTTCAGTCCCTGTTATGGTGGATAGACCCAGCCAATCTGACTGTAGGCATTCCGTTTCGACCCTGGTACCCTACAGTAACCCTCGGCACCGGTGCGTCCCTGCTGGGATGGGGAGCAATTTGCTCCGATCTACATGCCCAGGGGATATGGAGTCACTGGGATTGCAGGAACCATATGAGTTTTCTGGAACTTCTTGCCGTTTTCAAAGCCCTGCAATCATTCAAGGATGTGCTTCTACACCAGGTCGTCCAGGTGACCTCAGACAACATGGCGACGGTCTTTTATTTGAACAAACAAGGGGGAACCCGATCCCGGAAACTAGCCCGCCTGGCCATGCAGATTTGGGACTGGTGCATACCAAGAGGTATCACTCTTCTAGCAGTTCACCTTGTGGGCACAGAAAATACAGACGTGGATCTCTTGAGCAGACATATGTCATGGTCACACGAATGGGAGCTAGACCATCGGGTTCTCGACATGCTATTTCACCGATGGGGCCAGCCAGACATCGACCTGTTTGCCACACAACAGAACAGGGCATGCACGGCCTATTGTTCCAGAGCGGGGATGGGTCAGGACTCGCTCGGGGATGCTTTCATGATCCGCTGGACAAATATGACTTTTTATGCTTTCCCTCCGATCCCACTCATCATGAGAGTGTTGGCAAAGATCATTCACGAAGGGGCCACAGGGCTACTAATCACCCCCTGGTGGCCACGCCAGCCATGGTTCTCAACTCTCCTTCATGTCTCCCGAGAATAATTTCTCCAACTCCCTCTTCTTCCTTATCTCGTTACCCAGAGGGAGGGCACGATCCGCCACCCAGACTTGCTGTCGCTGAAACTGACTGCATGGAGGATACGATGACCAGCTGCGATACATCGGTATCGACACCACCAACCGTCCCGGCCATTCCTGCTCAGCAGAGTCTACACCCAGACCTACAGTATATTCTCGAATCTGCGCTATGACCATCTACTAGGAAGTCGCACGAGGCAAAATGGCAGAGATTCTCTAACTTTGCCAATTTACACTCGTTTCTGGCCCCCTCGGCTTCTGTTTCACAGATATTTCAGTTTCTCTTTGAATTGCATCAGTCTGGACTCAAGCCTTCGTCCATAAAAGTTTATACAGCAGCGATTTCACATTACCGGGGTCTCTCCATTTTTGCTCAACCTCTGATTAAAAGATTTTTGAGAGGATTGAGTAATCTGCATCCAACTATAAGACCTCTAATGCCCACCTGGAGTCTTTCGGTGGTTTTACAAGCGCTGATTCGATCACCTTTCGAACCCATGGCGACATTCGATCTACGCCTTGCTTCATGGAAGACTGCCTTCCTTGTTGCAGTGACTCAGCCTGTAGATCCTCTGAACTCTGCGCCCTTCGGGTAGACCCCCCTTTTCTAAATTTTCATAAGGAAAAAGTGGTTCTTCGGCTGGATCCGTCTTTCCTTCCGAAATTCGCTGCTTTGTTTCACATGCAACAGGAGATTGTTTTACTGGCATTCTTTCTGACCCCTTCGAATCCGATAGAACGATCTCTACATATGCTGGACGTTCGTCATTGCTTAGCCTTTTATAGGTCCAGGACTGAGTCTGTTTGGCGCTTCAATAGACTTTTTGTGAAATATTCGGAACATGACCGAGGCTGTCCAGTCACTTCACAACGTCTTTCGAAATGGATAGTAAATACAATTGTCCTGTCTTATCAGTTAGCTAAGTTGGACTTGCCATCTACTCCAAGCGGTCATTCTACAAGAGCTGTTGCTGCTTCTTCGGCCTTTGCATCAGGGGTCCCAATAGAAGATGTGTGCAGGGCGGCCATTTGGGCTACCCCGTGTACCTTCGCCAGACATTATTCGATGTCCATGCCAGGCAGGATTGCTCTTTTGGCAGAGCTGTCCTTTCTTCTGTCCTTCGCTGATGACACCTCCCTCCTCCATTTGGGGTAAGCTTGTTATTCTACCCATATGTGTGATGCACAGAGGCCATGACGAAGAAGAGCAGGTTGCTTACCTGTAACTGATGTTCTTCGAGTGGCCATCTGTGCAGTCACACAACCCACCCTCCGACCCCGCTTGGTGTCATGGGTGGTCTGACTATTTCTTTCGATACTATGATCTCTTTGCTATGTGTCGTACCACTACTGAATTTGGCTGTCTTGTCATACTGACAAACCTTATTATAAGAACAAACGTCGGTCTTTCAAAGACTGGAAAATGGCGGACACTCCGCTCCTTATTTAATGCTGAGGGGAGGGGGAGCGGAGTTCCCGCCAAAAATGGTTAGCTGTTAATCTTCCGGCCAAAGGCACCGTGCAGGCGCAGAACCCATATGTGTGACTGCACAGATGGCCACTCGAAGAACATCAGTTACAGGTAAGCATCCTGCTCTTATAAATTAATGGATCACCCCAACAGTTTCTATTCAGTTCCTGGTTTCTTTCATGCATCCTTGGTAGTAAGGATCAAACAGGTGGGGTGTGGCCTGCTGCTTAGCAGACTCATTGCCCTTTTGTGAGTGACAGACTTCTGAATCTTTTCTGAGCAGGTACCAGCCAGTGCTGAGTTATCATTTAGTGGCATTTTTGTCTCACTCTGAAATATTGTAGCTCTTCTCATTAAACCTAAATATAATATCAGCAGAAGCAGTATTTCCAAACAAGATTTTCTGAAACTCATTTGTTGGGAGCACTCCAAAGTTTTTCCAGAATCGTTTTTAATGAGCCGTTATGACTTAATGGGCTTGCATTTTCAAAGCCTGAGCTGTGGTGACAAGGGCTAAAATGTTAAGGGCACTCAAAGCTTTTGTTATGCTGCTGTTTTGTGAAGTGATACTTGTCTATTGTGGAATACCTAGAATCAGACAATCAGAAGCTACACTTCTTCTGGGAACCTGGACCTTTAGCCTGCTTACAAAGCTCTTGGCATGCAGCCTGTTCAAACCTCTGGCAGGAGCCCTCTGTTTCTTCCCTGGCAGCCTGCTAGGGAGGATGAAAGAGGGAGAATGAGGAAAGGGAGTGGCAGAAAGGGCCAGAAAGGAGCAAATGGGTAACCCACCCATGTTGGGGTCTGGCCCTGCCAGTCACTGTCTTCAGCCTGCCCACCACCTACAGCAGTGGTGGTGAACCCATGGCACGCATGCCGCAGCGGGCACACAGAGCCCTCTCTGTCAGCACGCGGGCCAAGTCACCCCAGCATCGCCCCAGCAGCCGAGCATCGGATAACAGTGCACACAGGGGCCATGTGCATGCTCGCAAAGGAGCAGTGGTTCCGCTTCTATCTCAATGGCCGATTCCAGAAGGTGGTGCTGGGGGACTATGGCTCTGTGCCATGGCAGCTATGCCATGGAGTACCGCAGGGGTCCATTTTGTCCCCTTTGCTGTTTAACATCTACATGAAACCGCTGGGAGAGGTCATCAGGAGGTGTGGGCTGCGGAATCATCAGTATGCTGATGATACCCAGCTCTACCTCTCATTTTCCACCAATCCAGGTGAGGCAGTGGCTGTGCTGAACCGGTGCCTGGCCGAGGTAATGGGCTGGATGAGGGCCAATAAACTGAAGCTCAATCCAGACAAGACAGAGGTCCTGTTGGTTGGCGGATCGGGCTTCGGAGAGGGTGGATTTGACCTGGTCCTGAATGGGGTTGCACTCCCTCTTAGGGACAAGGTCCGCAGCTTAGGAGTGCTCCTCGACCCGGAGCTTTCATTGGAAGCTCAGGTGACAGCGGTGGCGAGGAGCGCTTTCCTTCAGCTTCGGCTGATTAATCAGCTGCGCCCCTACCTGGAGTACGACTGCCTGGCGACGGTGACACACGCGCTGGTGACTTCTGTAACGCGCTTTACGTGGGGCTACCCTTGAAGACGGTCTGGATACTTCAGTTGGTTCAAAATAGAGCTGCCAGGCTGCTGACGGGGATGGGGCGTTATGTTCACATGACTCCAGTCCTCCGTCAGCTTCACTGGCTTCCCATTGAAGTCCGGGCCCAATTCAAGGTGTTGGTGATGACCTATAAAGCCCTAAACGGCTTGGGTCCTGGTTACCTGAAGGAGCGCTTACGTCCGTATATGCCTGGCCGCCCCTTGAGATCTGCAGGAGAGGCCCTTCTCCAGGAACCCTGCGTGAAAGAAATTAGGAGGGTAGGTACTCGGAGGAGGGCTTTCTCTGCGGTGGTGCCCAATCTATGGAATGCGCTCCTCAGAGAGGTCCGCCTGGCGCCGTCGTTGTTTTTTGGCGCCAGGCAAAGACCTTTTTATTTAAGCATCATTTTAATTGTTAACAATATTTGCTTATTTATCTGGCCAGGGTGACTTCTTTTATATTGTTATTTTATTTTGTATTTTATTGTATTTTATCTTGTGCTGTGAGCCGCCCCGAGGCTTCGGCAAGGGGCGGCATAGAAATGTTTCAATAAATAAAATAAATAAATAAAATAAATAAAAGTCACGAGCCGCCACTCATTAGCTGCAACTTGTCTGAGCATTTGCATGGCCGGTCAGTGGGCTGCCAAGGATTTTTTTTTTTTGGACTGGCTGTGAGTTGTTTTTTCTAAACTAAAACCTCAGTATTCAGGTGTTATTGCAGTGTTGGCACTTTGCGATAAATAAGTGGGTTTTGGGTTGCACTTTCAGCACTCGGTCTCTAAAAAGTTCACCATCAATGATCTACAGGCAGCCGGGGACAATTTTCCGCAAGGGAATGTGGCTCCTACAGGAAAAGGTTGCCTATTTTTGACTTGCAGCGATGTCATGGAACTTTTTGTCTCTCCCACCACAGGATTGCATTTCAAATATGCAATCTAAATCTGTATTTTGCTTCTTGCCATACAGATGACAGTAAAGAAAACCTTGTCCAATTTCCGGCGGACCCACCATGATAACTGGCAGGCACACAAACAACAGTTCACAGATGACCAGCTGCTTGTTCTTACTGACCTCTTGGTATCGCCGTGCTATTATGCATAGTGAGGTGAGATTGTGCTGAGAACTGTATGTTTGAGTTAATAATAGTTTCTTCGAAGGCTCTTCTAAGACATCCAGTTAGCATAGCAGAATCCCAGCTTTCAAACAGTGTGGAATTATTTTTAGATGCATTATAGATATGGCAGTTGTCTTTTCTCCTTACAGGAATCTTTTTAGACAGCCCAGTTTTTTTTAAAAGGGGATATACTGCTGCTAATTTTAGTGATGTACTTGCAGGTTTATCATTAATGTTGGCTTTCCAGTTAACTTTTCCCATGCTCTCAGTGAGTGGAGAACTCCCGCTTACCACCACATTTTCATTTGCAGCAGGCACAATTCTCTGTCAGGGGCAAACAAATAGTTGGCTGCTACCAACTGTGGTGCAGCTAATCTTAATAGTTGGGAAGACGAACAGGGATGAACTTGGTGGTGGATCTTTTACTCTAAAGTCCCAGGCTTAGGATAGACAAATCTGTCTTTCTTCTTGTTATGCATAGATCTGAGGTCTGCTTCTGTCACTTCCAATTTTTCCCTCTCTTGCAGGTTTTGGGGAAGACGAGGGCCTGCTACCCTTTCAGCAAAAATAAAGGAAACTCAAAACTAATTTATTGTGTATAGAACCATTTTGGATTTGGTAACCTAGGCTATTAAGTCTGGAAACCTTTTTTGAAGTGCATGCTAGGTCTGTATGGGGAGAACTATGAGGAATGCTACTTTACTGAGGCAAAGGGCTGTAGCAGTGAGACAAATGTCCGTGTTTGAACAGCCAGATCATGTTTTATTCCTGCCTTTGTGTAAATACCTTGCATTAACACAATGCCCTATTTTTTCCTTCTCTTGTGCAATCATTAATGCCACAACTTTTCCTAACTTTATGTACTTCCACCCTTGGACATCCATGACATCATGGACTTTCAGACACAAGATCTACAATGCTGGGTTGCCAAACTCGTCATCTGATCTACCTACTAGTGTGTACTTCCAAAACTGCACACCAGTTGCTTGTAAGAGTAGGGCAGAAATGTTCTCTGTATTTTTGTTTTAGATTTCAGCCCGTTTCCAGCTCCCAGGCAATACCAGGCTATGCAGAACTTGAGCTGGGCTCCTTTTTAACTCTTAACTCCTGAGTAACTCTCTTTACTCTGTATTGTTGTCTGGTTGTGTGCAGTAAAGAGAGAGCCTTTCTATGACCAGGTTTTTCAGTGATATTCTTCACCCAGGTACTGAACTTTACCTTTTTGTCTGTCTTGGCAGTCTGATTTTGTTCAATACAATACAGCTGATAGATGAAGACCGCTCTTAACTGTTGCTTTATTTCAAAGAATGAAGAGTATGTACATATGTTAATAAAGAGTGGCTGAAGACTTTTTAAATAAAACACCCCCTGTTTGCTACTCCCACATCTTGTCATTCACTCCACTGCTTCATGCTGGAACAAATATTTAACTTGCATAACAGTACTGTATCTCCTCCCCACACAACACACCCCTTTTGGTCTGCAACTCTGGTGGATAATGACTAGCTAGTTCACCACATGTTTAATATGTGATACACAGATGTAAAAGACTGTATAAATTGTAGAGGTGCAGCACTGGTAAAGCACTGTACAGTTTGCAGAAGAATTTACATAATCCATTGGTGAGATTAACTTGTAAAGAATCACACTTTTAGGTGCTAATATATAGTGCTTTCAGCTTTTTTATCTGATTCAGATGCCAATTTCTTCTGGTTTTTAATCTCTCATTCCCATGAATGAGGTAACTTTAGTTTTGGGCTTGATTTTCATTTATCTTGTTAGTGAGTCTGTTGATTTTTACAGTAATTTTTGCTTCTCAGCATCCTGGGAAGGCCAAGCAGTGGCATATACTGATGTGTGGTAAATTATAGAATGCAAGAATTCCTCCCATGTGGGAAGGCAAATCTGAGAATTGTGTGTTTTTCATCTTTCTGCACATCCTGTGCATTTTCCTTTGTAAAAACAGGAATATGAAACATTTTTCAATCACCTGCCTGCTGGGAAACCCTACCAAGTTCTTAAAGCACAGCAGAGTAACCAGTTCCAGTGTCCCCTGAGAGTCAACACACAGTAATAACACATGTATAGCATAGTGCCAAAATGCCTCCCCTCTCAGTTGTGTACTTAGTTTAAGGCCGAATAAATAAAGTAATTGTTTGTAAGATTTGTGTGTGTGCAAAGCCTTATTCTTCATCGTAGCATTTTTCTCCACTATAAGCACTTTCACCTGAGGAGATTTATTCATCTATTTTTAAATTTATGTGCTGCTAAATAGACTGATAGTGACATTTTATTTTCCTGGGCTCCAAGATCACCGCAGATGGGGACTGCAGCCAAGAAATTAAAAGACGCTCCTGGGGAGGAAAGCTATGGCAAATCTAGACAGCATACTAAAAAGCAGAGACATCACCCTGCCAACAAAAGTGCGTATAGTCAAGGCTATGGTTTTTCTAGCTGCAGTGTATGGCTGTGAAAGCTGGACCATAAGGAAGGCTGAGCTTCAAAGGATTGAGGACTTTGAATTGTGGTGCTGGAGGAGACTCCTGTGAGTTCCTTGGACCACAAGGCGATCAAACCGGTCAGTCCTAGAGGAGATCAACCCTGACTGCTCTTTAGAAGGCCAGATCCTGAAGATGAAGCTCAAATACTTTGGCCACCTGATGAGAAGGAAGGACTCACCGGAGAAGAGCCTGATGCTGGGAACAATAGATGGCAAAAGAAGAAGGGGAGGGCAGAGGATGAGGTGGCTGGATGGAGTCACTGAAGCAGTTGGTGTGAGCTTGGGTGGACTCCAGGGGATGGTAGAGGACAGGAAGGTCTGAAGGAATGTTGTCCATGGGGTCACGATGGGTTGGACACGACTTCGCGACTAACAACAGCAACAACAAAATATACTGATGTGGTTCTCTCTGATATGAGAGGAAAAGCTATTGCAAGTTTGTTGGGGATTATGTTGGTCCTGGCGTCCATCAGCTTCTGGTTGTAGATGGATAAGGCAGGGTTATGGTTAGGGTGCTTTTCTCAGATTCCCCTCCTAAGAGAACACGCCCGGTAAAATCAAAATTGTGTACTAAGAAAAGGGAAGGAAACAGCTACAACTGGGATGTGGCTGCTGCTTCTCCCCCTTGAATGGAGCATCTTTCTTTGTCATCTCTTTCTTTTGGGTGACAGTTTTGCTTTCTTTATGGGCACCATTTCAGGAAATAGTGCCAGTTTCTTGGGAGCACAAGAATATTGCAACTGATTTCTGCCCCAAGCATCAGATGATACAATTTGACTTAGTTTTTATCGCTAATCAGTTGGATGGAAATCTGATGGTGGAGGAGGTTCATATCATTCCTTTGTCATGGACAGAGAACCAACTGATAGGGTTGAGTCCCCTAACTACAGTAAGGGTGGGAAATGTGTTAAAATGGTCCACTCTCAGAGACTCATGGGATCAGATGGATTCCTGATGGCTCTCTGGGACATTCCTGCCTGCAGAGAGCTTCAGGTCAAGCGAGAACGCTGGGCAGAAAGCAAAAAAATGAAATTCAGTAGAGACAAATGCCAAGTTCTCCACCTGAGGAAAAAATCCAAATGCATTAATACAAGATAGGGAATTCTTGGCTTATTAGCACTGGAAAAGGAAAAGATCTTGGAGTTGTTGTAGACAACACACTCAGTATGAGCCAGCAATGCAGTGTAGCCAGAAATAGGGCAAATACTATTTTGGGGTGCATAAATAGAAGTATCATTAGCAAAACGAGAGGTACTAGCTCCCCTTTACTCTGCACTACTCAGACCTCGCCTAGAATTCTGTGATCAGTTAGTTCTGAGCACTCAAATTTAAAAAGATGCAGCAAAACTAGAAAGGGTTCAGAGGAAGGCCACAAAGATGAACTATGATCTGGAAACAGCCCTACAATGAGAGAATGAGAGAGCTTGAGTATGTTCAGCCTCGAGAAGACTGAGGGGGGCTATGACAGCACTGTACAAGTACCTCAACGGCTGTCACAAAGAGGAAGGACAACATCTCATCCCTGAGTGTAGGGCATGGAACAATGAACTTAAGCTGCAGCACACCAGCTTCAGGCTAGACACCAGGAAAAACTTCTTCACTGTGGTACCAGTTGTCAAATAGATGTATCTGCAGTAGATGTGCTTTACCTGGATTTCAGCAAGGCCTTTGACAAAGTGCCCCATGATATCCTGGTTGAGAAACTGAGGAGTTTTGGGATAGACCAATGCACTGTCCGATGGATTAGGGCATGGTTGACTGACCGAAGGCAGAGGGTGACCATTAGTGGGGAATCATTGGGATGGTGGCCAGTGACAAGTGGGGTCCCCCAGGCCTCTGTCCTGGGGCCGATCCTGTTTAATCTTTTCATCAATGACATGGAAGAAGGGGTGAACAGTCTGCTGATCAAATTCGCAGAGGATACTAAAACTGGGGCAGTGGCCACAACTGAGGAGCAGGTACTCCAGATCCAAAAGGATCTGGACAGACTATGGAAGTGGGCAGCAGACAACAGGATGGCGTTCAATGTGGATACGTGCAAGATCTTGCACTTGGGGCATAGGAATAGGTGTCATAAGTACAGGTTAGGGGACAAGAGGCTAGAGAGCAGCACTTTTGAAAGGGACCTCGGGGTGCAGGCTAAACATGAGTCAGCAAAGTGATGCGGTGGTCAAGAGGGCAAACGCCACCCTTGGTTGCATAGCCAGAAGTGTGACTTCTAGATCGAGAGAGTTATTACTACCACTCTGTATGACTCTGGTGCGCCCACAACTGGAGTATTGTGTTCAGTTCTGGGCCCCTCATTACAGGAAGGATATAGCCAGGTTAGAGTCAGTGCAGCGTAGGGACACAAGGTTGGTGGCCGGTTTGCAGGGGATGGGGTATGAGGTGAGACTAAGGGAACTGAGTCTCTTCAGCCTGGAGAAGAGGAGACTCAGAGGGGATCTGTTGGCAACATACAGGTATGTGAGGGGGTGTCACATGGAGATGGGTAGAGACCTGTTCTCCCCTGGAGAGGAAGGCAGGACCCGCTCCAATGGAGCAAAGCTCAGGGAACCAGGCTTCCATTTAGATGGACCGGATCCATCCCGCGGGCCATAGTTTGAGGACCCATGGCCTAGATCAGGTGTCAGCAACCCGCGGCTCTGGAGCCATACGTGGCTCTTGAATCCCTCTGCTGCGGCTCCGTCGCTCAAAATACATTCCAGCTGCCGAGGCACTGAGTTACAAAATACCAATAGGTGTAATGATGAAGCATCCACTCAGGAATGCTGTGCTAGCTGGTTAAGTAAATTGCGACATTCCTCTGCTATTATGCAGGGAAAGAGTGGAACAAGCTTCCTGCAGGCTCTCATGTTACACAAAACGCTGCTGAAAAGATTCTCTTTGTCCCAATGTAATCTCCTTCCTCTAAATGATAAAAGCTGCGCTTGGGACCTGTCACAATTCATCCCCCCCCCCCCCCCCGCTCCCCGTAGGCCAACCATGGATAAATCGAAGAAAAGTTTCTGAAGAAAACCAAATGGCTAATGATAGATTCATTTGCTTTTACTGCTGACGAACTTATGGGGTTTGCTGCTCAATGCATGCAGCTCTTTAGTACTGACTTTGACTCTGCGGGAAGCTGTTCTCCTATTCAAAATATATGAAAGAAGGCCTACTAGTTTATAATGTAAGATTAAAAATTACAGTTTTTAGTGACTGAACAAGAGCTGCAGCTAAATCGTAATGAAGATATACATAGCATTAAGGTAAAAAACGATATATGCAGTGTTATCTTCATTTTAGATGTCAAACGGCTCCCAGTGTTTTCTTTTGTGTGGGAAACGGGTCCAAATGTCTCTTTGGGTGTTAAAGGTTGCCGACCCCTGGCCTAGATCATCATCCTCCTCCCACTTCCTTTTAAGAGGAGAAAATCTACTCTGTAGAATCCTGTCTCCATCCAACAGTGTACTCAGGTAACTGTTGATGGTAGTGTTTATCACTTCAAGGGGCTCAGGCACCACCCCTCTTTTTCAGAGTGCGATGTATAAATACTTCATGGCAAAAATGATCTAAGCAGCTTGGCTGTGTTTGGGGGGCAACTTGCTTGTTCCCCAGCTTTCTACACTGGGCTGCATGGCTTGCCATTAGCACTCAAGAACCCACTGGGTCCATTAAGGGGCACTGCAGATGAAAGGCAGTGATGCCACTAGAAAATGACGAGGATGCGTGTGAGCCCTTCCTCATCAGAACCAAGGAGCTGCTTTCCTCCTGGCCCACACTTTTTTCTCCATGGCAGCAGCAATGATTGTGTGTTCAACTGCTTTTCCATGACATGAAATATGGCTGAGGAGTTGATGTGTGAGTGAAAGACAACGCATGCAGCGGTTGCTATGACACACGAACGCAAATCATGCATGAGTCACTCAGGAAACTTGAAATAAAAAAAGTCAAGGCCACAGTCAAATTATACTGGGAGGGGGAGCCACACCTGTCTTGATACAAATCAGCTGCCATCTATGTAAGGCTCTAAATCCAAATTTTACATCTTCCCTGACCTAACACCCTTAATGGAAAAACCTGCCTTTCCCCTGCCTCCAGGGAACTCACCTATTTATTTATTTATACTTTCATTTATATGCCATCTACTACCATAGTCTCCAGATGGCTTACAATAAAGATAAAAACACATATGAAATAAAGAATAAAAACTTCACTATGAAAATTTTAAACCTAACAATAACAAGACAAAGCAGCAGTGCAGGGGAGGGGAGGCTCAATTACTAAAAAAGATATTAAAAAGAATTTTTTTTCCTGGCACTGAAACTGTAATGGAGTAGGCACCATGTGAACATCCCAGGGGAGGCAATTCCAGAGGCAGGGAGCAGCCACCGAAAAGTCCCTTCATCTATTTGCCATCCTCCTTTTATAGAAATACTCTCTGCCTGTTGAAATACCAAGGGAGGTTGGATTTTAGATTAGGGTTTGCTGGCAGGAACATCTTTAAATATCACAAAACATGGTCACAGAACGCGAAGAACTGCCTTTCTTGGGGAAAGGTATTTGTGCATGGGGGTTTAAAAGGAGCAGATGGGAAAGCAGCCTATGGAAAACACAACCATGAGATGTGTTGTTAATTGTGCCAGGCTTGGTACATTGTAGATGTGCACTGTTTAAACGGTATGGTGCAGTTGTGTCCTTTCCAGCTAAAATTCAAGTTGTGGTTTGGCTGATGGAACGTGGGCCCCTTTGCCTCTTTATACCATACAAAGAACTGTGTGGAAGATTATGCTTGCATACATAGGCTTAATTCTTGATAAAGGAATTCTGCTCTGCCTGCCTTTGGCTTTTGAAGCAGCACGTGATGGACAGATTTAGGGTTGCAGTTCTACATATGCTCCTCCCAGGGAGGGAATTGTCCTAAGTATGTGGGACTTTGAATGGGAAGCTAGGATTCTGTCCACTGGATTTCGTTCTGCTGATAGCTGCCTGCCTGCAGTTCAAACACACTGAGCCACTTTTATGATGTGGGAGGAAGGCAAAACAAACAGCACCCAGCACTTCTGTCTTGTGGTTGAGCACATGCAATGACAACTTCATAAGGCACTACATATAAAAGAAAGACAGAAGGCAGGAAAAATGTAAAATACTGAGCTTTTCTGTGGACTGGGAGAAGAAAATGGGGCTATTACAGAACAAACAAAAGATACAGCATGGAGTATATACTGAACTCTGAGAACTGTAAAATGGAGAATTTCCAGAAGGCAGCACACCGAGATGGTAGGGAAAACAATGAAAAGTCCTGTACCAAATTAATTTATTCTGGTATGTGCTTTTGTGGGCAACAGGCTAGTGCCACAAGACGCTGCTTTTGCTTAAAATTAACAAATGCCAAGCCTAAGATTTTATTTATTTATTTAAAACTTTTACATCCTGTCTGCCACTGAGGTCTTGGGACGGTCTTACAAAAAGCTGAATAATGCACAGCATCAAAATAATTTCTTATACAATAAACCCCACAATTAAAATCATAGTCAAACCTTAAAATTATGGGGGGAAAAGGTCTTAGCCTGGCATTGAAAAGAATAAAGTGTCAGCACCAGGTGAACCTCTCTGGGGAGCAAATTCCACAATCAGGGAGCCACCGCAGAGAAGGCCCTTCTTTGGGTAGCCACCCTCCTAATCTCCTTCAAGGAGGGTTCCCAAAGAAGGACCTGCACCCCAGATCTTAAGGACTGGGCAGGCACAAAGGCTTTATAGGTCATCACCAGCACCTTAAATTGGACGCGGACTTCAACTGGCAGCCAGTGTGACCCACAGAGGACCGCCATTGTATGTGAATACCTGCTGGTCCGGTTAACATCCTGGCAGCTCTATTCTGAACCAATTGAAGTATCCGGGACTGTCTTCAAGGGCAGGCCCACGTAGAGCACATTACAATAGTTCGCTTAGCAGAGCATGGGCCACAGTTCGGGCTGAGTCCTTGAACCCAGCGAAGCGCAAGGCCTTCCACGCCCAAGTCAGCCCCGGGGTACGAGCCCAGAGGCGCCGACACAGGCCCGGCCGGCCGGGGAGGTCAGCGCCGTCAGGCTGCCCTTCCTCTTGGACCAGGTGGCGACGCCGTCCGGTCTGCAGCCCAGCTGCACCGTCCACGCAGCCACGCGGGACAGAGACGTGAAGGCAGAGCACTGGGGCAGAATCGCCGCTGGGGGCCCAGGGCGCCCGAGGGCCCTTCAGCAGAGTGGCTCTCCGCGGGCGAGTCGTGCACCCGGGGGCCACCGTGCGGGTGGCAGCGGCCCCTCCCTCCGGCGAACCGCGGCTACGCGGCGGGCCACGGAGGCCACGAGGCTCCACGAGCAAGCAGGGGCCGAGGACCCGCCGCCCGAGGCCGCCCTCCCTGCCTGCGGCGAGGGGACGCGGGCCGTGCTGCTGCGAGGGAGCGCGGCGCCGCCGCCGCCGCCGCGTGTGCCGCGCGCGGGTCGGAGCAGTCGCGCACGCGGACACTCGCCGAGGAGCGGCGCGCGAGCGGGCGCGGGCGCGGCGTGTCCCC